AGCTCCCATCCGATAAGGAGCCTGCAGCGGACCTGCGCATGTGAGCAATAGCATGCTTATCCCCATTTCGGGCTCTGTCTAAAAGGTCCTCCTTATGAGCAATTTGCGCAGCTTCACGTGCAGCTCGGATCTTGCCCATCATTGCAGTGCGTTCCTCTCCAGCCAGCATCTTTCGTTGCCTAATGAATTCCTGAATTTCAGGTCCATCTTTATATCGGAGATTTGGAGGCCTGAAGCTGGCCTTCTTTGCAATTAATTCAACAGTCGCATGATTAAATTCTGTTTTGATGCAGTCACCTAGAGCTTCCTTAACGGCATGGTCAGGAGCAACCCATTTGCCACACCGTCGGGTTACCCAAGGTCTCCGTCGGTAAAAGGGAATCCTCGAAAAGACAGTAAGCAGTAACGCCGAATGATCTGATGGAAGGGCAATCCTCAAATCGTCCCTAACAGTCAACTGGTAATCCATGCCGGGAACCCGAAGGAAAAAGAAGTCAATTTTCGTGCTGATCCCCCGTGCATGCCACGTGTCACAGGGGGGACTGACAAGATCCAGACCTGCAAGACGCATGCAAGCCCGCAACCTGGGAACTTGTGCAAAATGATCAAATTCTTGAGTTAAGTCCTGGTTCACATCCGCTGCAACAACTATGCGGTCCTGAATTCGGGCAGGCAAAACAAATTCTTCAAGCAACTGAATTCCTGAAGCCCAAGTCTCAAGACACTCCCCACGGTGGTCATGAGGGAAATGCAAACTGGCGACGTACCAATCAACCCCCTGTAATCGCATCTTGAGGAGTACCCCAAAGGGATGCGCACGGTTATCCGTGACGGAGGCGGTGAGCTCATGACGAACTGCAACACAGACTCCTCTCCAGCTTTCAGCGGTGTCTAAGCAGTACGCAGTGTAGGACTGTTTACCTATGGCAAACGGCAGTGCTTGCACATCTTTAATTCCATTGAGGCCTCCAACTTCCTGCAAACACAGAACATCAGGAGGATCCACGTTCCCGTGGATAACATTATCAATGTGCGTAAGGGACTTTCCATGCAAATTCCAATGCAGAACAGAAAGGTCATGAAAGGCTCGACGATTTTGCCTGCGGTGCTGCCGAGGTGCCGCAGGAGCAGCCGGTCTGGGTTCCCTGCCAATTTCCTATGGGCCTCCTGCTGTGCGAGACAACGCATCATGCACTTGTTGTGCCGAAACACCCAAGACCTGTGCAGCCTTAGCGACGTGCACAAACCACCCACTATGATCACCTCGAGTCGTGGTGTGAAGGAATGCTCCCTCGGGAGGGGGTGGGCCTGCGTATCCCAAGATGTTGACCCCATCCGCGAAAACCTTACCCCGCCAATCGTGCTCAACGTCAGCTTGGGGCCTCAAAGAGAGCAGGGCTTCTTTCGTTGACAGGATTGCACGAAGTTTCGCGCGTTCCTCTGGACTACGGTTACGAGTAAACCATACCTTTCGACCTTCTTGCCCGCGGATGTTCGTAACAGGCAGTTGTTCTTTGAGGGCGTTAATGACTTTGGTCTGAAAGGTCCGTTTATCCCCTATGGAGGTGCCCGACGGATAGTTCAGTTCGATGCGTGCAAAGGAACTTCGTGCGTAAGGTATGATGATGTCCTGCACCAAGTTAGACCCTCCTGCCGCAGTGAAAGCCTGACTCAGTTCATGCTCAATATCATGTCTCTTAGCGTCTTGCCAGCCTCCACATGCAATCTGTAGGTCATCCCAGCGAGGATCTTGTCGGGGTGAGACCGGAGCAGATGGACCACCCGGAGCCGCATACCCACTAGGTGCTGGGGACACAGACCGAGAACGTAAGGCCTGAATTTCTTGTCTAAGTTCCTTGATTTCCCTAGTATGATCATGCGAGATGGCTTCAACTGCTTCAATTCTAGGCACCGCGTCCGACACCTTATGCTGAACTAAGGCAATTTCGCGGGAGTAACTGTCAGCTACCTCCAAGAGCTGGCTCTGTTTGTCCTTGAGTTCCTGTATGCTAGATTTAAGAGAAGGGAGCCAGGCTGGTTCATCGAGGTCGTAGTGCTCAGGTGCTCGTGCATTTCGAGGGGCCTCTTGCTGCTGATAGCCCCCGGCAAAAACGGGGGGTGCATGTAAAGGAGCGTTCCTACCAAAAGCGGGGGAGCGGTCCTTCCCATCCCCTTCATGCATGTTGGTACTCCCCAGATCAGGCATGCGTGGCTTCGGAATGTCATGCTGATTAAATTCTGAATTCCCTCCGAATTCTGAAAAATCAGCCCCTTTTCCATCAGAAACTGTCTGCAATTGAGCGACGGCCAACGGCATCTTGTTGACGTCTTTGTCCCCTCTAGGATCCACTTTGACCCCGTTGGGGTCAATCGTCCACGGCTGAGTCTCTCGTTGGCTGAGCGGCAGCTCGTCGGTTCTTTGATTAGGGGGGGCCGCTTGAGGACTATCGGCTGTATCATTTCCTGGGTGCATGAGTTCATCATCAATGGTACTCTCGTGCTTCTTGGGTTTCTTAGAGGGGCTCTCCCCACGCTTGGCGGCTACAGGCCCAGGGAGGCGTCTTAGTTCATCGCCCTCATCATCGGTGTCAAGGGTCCCGGGGGGCTTGAACCTTTCAGGAATCGGGCATCCTAACGCAGCGTCAAGGGCAGCCTGGGCATCTGAGTTCAACGAAGTAGGGGCCACTTTGCTCTTGACCCCGCCCACGCGCTCGGAGAGAGCTGCCAGAGCCCCGGACATACAGCACAACAGCACCTAGCTCAGGAACCCGCCGAGAGCTGTTTTCTCGGATCTCGAGCCGAAATCTTGAGCCAAAATGGCTTGAGCCAAAACCATCTATGACATCTATGATGACCTCACCTCGCCTGGCAATAGCATGCATGCAGCACCCGGTTGTATGCCCCCCCCCCCCACAACTGTAGACGCAGTGTCCATGTCTGCAACTACCCAAAACTTCTACAGCTTATGGCTGCTTCGAGCTAGCTGGTTGCCAGCTAAGAACGCCCGGTCTGGAGTCTCGAGGCATCGCCAGTGATTGAACACCTGGGTGCAAGCTTCGGAGGGAGCAAGCGATGCAAACCTCGAGACTGATCAGGGCTGATCTCAAGCAACATGATTAAACTGCCGTTTTTGCTTCTGTCATGGAGCTTGTCAACAGAACTACTTCCCGATTTTGTGCCACACAGTGCCGCCCAAAGTCGAAGTCCTCTCCATTGGCGATTTTGTCCTCAGCACAGGTGTGTGGCCGATCAGTTGATCAGTCCTCAATGTTCCTTGAGTTCGTTAAGTTTGAGGCGTGTCGTTCGCCAGCATGTCAGGGCTATAGATTCTGGGGCTACAAAGCTCTCGGGTGCGATGCAGGATTAGTGTACTAAACCAGGTTGAGCACTGGATGCTGCTACCTCGCCCCACTGTGAGAAGTTCGTCTTGTCGCATAGCGTCCCTGCCAGACTGGATGCTCAGTGCTGAGTGAATGAAAAGAAGTTCGTCTTCACATGTCATAGTCCTTATTTTAGCGCAGCTTTGGCACGATGATCCGCTGCACATCGTTGTTTCCGGAACTCGCCAAGATCTTGTGAGCTGCCTGGAAGCAGCTCGGCAAGGTGCTTCCCACAGCTGAGCTGCGAGTTGGAAGACTTAAGGAAAAGCAATTCAACACATATCTGCGTGGGTCATCGGAATGCGTCTCCAAGCCTCCACGAGGACGGACTTCTTTTGTCTTCTGCCCACCTGGCAGCACAAGCAGTTTTGGAAGCCTTCATGCGTCTTCACGGCACTCCCGGGTCTGGAACTACAAAACTCGGCCACCATCACGCGTATCAGGGCAATCTCCAGGATGTGTTAGCGAACACATATTCGGCAGTCCGTCTGTATCTGCAGTGTGCTAATGGTGAAGATCGGGCGCGTCTGCTCGCACAAGCCTCCAAGTCGTGATCACGAAGCAGGTGCTCCAGCTCCTTCACATGCACACAGGACTGCATCCACAGGCAACAAATTGCACCGGAAGCTTAAACTGAAGCAAGCCCCTGGTTAATCTTCCAGCAGGCCATGAGCTGCATCTGTCTTTGCGACAGCAGGTTGCACCGGTTCCCTCCGACCACGTAATTCTGAACATTGCAATGCACACTGCCCCTTGCAGTGTGGCGCTCCGACACGGTGGGCGTCCTGTCCCAGAGCAAAGCCAGGCAAAGCGATCTCTACCACATTGGTATCTTTCATCTTTCATCGGCCGAGTGTCTCATTGGTCTCAAGAGGGCTGGGAGTGTGCCGAACTACTGGACCCCACTGCCTTGCCTGCTCTCCTTGTCGTCCTGGCAAGGCAAGGCTCACCCTCAGCTCTCTTTTGCAAAAGACGCATTTGCTACTGAAGTACGTTTTGCTTGGTCTGTGCGATTGGTCGGATGCCCTGTCGAATGTTGTCACAGCTTCTTCATGCAGGGTATAGCTGGCGAATCTACAGACGGCCGCATGCCGCACCTCCCGCCCTCCCCAAAAGGATACAGACATAGACACTTAAAACCCTCTTGCAGCAGCAGCAATCAAGAATGCTTCATCAGAATGGTCCCGGACTGCCAATCCACACAGCAAGCAAGTGTAACCATCTGCGCCTTTTTGGCTCGGCCGCGCATGATGCAGCTGATGCAGCCCATGGCGATAGCCGAGGTGGGGCTGTCGCCCGCAGCTTTCAGTTGCGGCTACCGGGACAAGCTCAAACTATCTCGGTCTCGAAGAGGCACCGACGTCTTGGAAGAATCAGGTTGGCTTGAACATTTGATAGTCCTGCTGCTGCCTGCTGTGCTAGCTGCAGCTGTTGTCGTGCCTGTTCCGCTCAAGGGTCGCATGCAATAAGAGCTTAAGAAAGCCTGCCACTCGCCCGTCTTAGGCAAGCTTGTAGCTAACGGCTGCAGGCAAGGCCAGATTTAGCTCTGCATGAAGGCACGAAGGTGACTGGAGAGCTCCGACGTACTCACATAAGCTCGCCTCTTGCTTAGGCCCACACACCAAGGCAGGCGCAAAAACACAATCTGCCTGTACGAGACTCAAGCTCTTCGAGCTCATCGCTCAGCTGCAGACCTTTCGGAAACGTTGCAGTGCCCGCCTCTCCGGCGAGCAGCCGCACCGGTCTCGATCTGTTCACCTCGGCTTCGCGCTACAGTACAAGTAGGACGACTGATGCTCTTGCCGTGACGCTCGGCAGCCCATCAGGAAGAGCACTGTACTATGCGCTGTTAAGACCAAATCTTCGAAATCGTAACTGCGCGAGGGTTTGCATATGCTGTGTGCAGCTGTGAAGCCGTAGGTCGAGCGATGGCCAGCAACGGATCACCTGGAGGTGCTCGTCACATGAAAGCACCAAAACTTCTTATACAACAACGCCCCGCGAGGAGCCGGATAACCTAAGACCTAAGCTCTGTGATCTACATACTCTGTCTTCGGCCACGGACTCTCAGTCAGCCCGAAATCTGATTTTGAATCTACGAGAAGCCAGTTAGATTGCCGCACCAAATCATCTCTCAAGCCGGGGCACGGTCCCGGGGTGTGTGGGGCGCTGTGGGCACGTGGCACACAGAGCCGACCCACCCGCCCAGGCGAATGCGTGAGCGAAGGAACCTGCACCAAAAGCACTCCGAGGTCAAGCTCCAGCCGCTCGTCTTCCGATGACTGAGGTTTCAGGACGAAGCCCAAGCTCGTGCAAACGGACTCTGGATGGCGGGCCGCAGCATGGACTGCCCGCCACCTTGAGACATGCCTCAGTGGGCTTTGCAATGCCTGTTTCGGTGTCACAGAAACTGCAATGCCGCGTCTCACACCTCTAGTCGAGTCACCCATGAGCACAATCCGCTCGCTCTGCCCGTTCAGCAATGCTGCCTGACCAAAGCGAGGATGTTGCAGGCGGGAGTCTGGGCGGCTTTGCTGCAACGTGTCAGCTCCTGTTCAATCGACCTGTTTCATCCTGTTTCTCTCGCCACAATGCATGCAAGATCAGAGTCGATTCTCTGGAATCGTCTCATCTGCTTTTCTGGCGGTGAACCTTGGCCGCAGGAATGCTTCGGCTTGTGCTGCTGGATGACGTGTCCCCTTTTTAAACATGTCGCAGAGTGCCGCCTGGGCCAGCCGCATAGTTGGAAAGCGAAAGCCGGCACTGGATGGTCACTCCTGTCTGGCTGTGACAGGAATACGCCCGGGGCGCATGTGCTGCAGCGGGCTCATCAAGAAACGGGTTTGCACGTGCAACAGTCCGGCAGAGAGACAGCACACTGTTTTCGACAAGCGCTTCATCAAATTCAGACACTGTGGATTCCACCACGCCCACCAAAATGATGTCCTGTTCTTCGCAGCTGGAGCGATTGTCCTTTGTTGTGTCCGGGATGCGGCTATGCCAGGAAGCATCAAGTGATTTTGTAGTCCCAGCCCGCTGGCAGCACTGTGCCTAATGCAGCAGAAGAGCCAATACTGATGTTATTCCGATGCCAAGCTCGGAGAGCATGATCTGCAGGCAGACTACCTTAGCGCCAGGTACTGGTAGTGCAAAGCCAACACGTTAGGGTCCCTTCATGTCCCCTCGACGTCTTGACCCGCCGGTCAACCGGCGGATCCTTCAATCAGGGGAACTTCGCCTCCCAAATTCCTTGGTGAGACACATGCTCTCTGACTTTTCTTCCTGCCAGAGTGCTTCGCATCAGCTCCCCTGAAAGATGGGTCACTCAGCGACAGACAAGCTCGCAGGACATAGGCAAGTGAGCTTGTCAAAACGTCGCTGAGGGTACTTTGCCCATGCACAATCCTGCACGTGCACATGTCTCTGTTGGACATATGTGCGACTTCTCGAGGATTGCTTCGCGCTTGAGTGCGTTCCACCAGCAGGGAAAACGACAGCTGACCTCAAGTCCAATCAATCCGAGGTCAACAAGGCTGTGCCAGTTTGGCGCTGCACTATGGCACAAGCATGGACAGGAACGGTCTTCAGCCTTTCCTGTTGTTAAACACATCTAACAGAAAGTCGGTGAACGCGGAAACGTTGGTGTTCTTCGCCATGAGAGCGATTGGAGCATCCTGCCACGATGCAGGGATGCTTAAGGATAGGAGGTCCCTGGAACCAAGTAAAGTATGCGAGCTTGAGTCCATCATAGCAGGCAGCAGCAACAAACACAGAAGTCATCGCCGTCATTGGAGCAACACCGTTCAAACTGTAAACTTATCAAGATCACCATCACCAGCATCACCAACATGGTCATCATCACCCACATCCCGGCAAGGAGAAGCAGGCATTTAACACTCGTAAACACAATATTATACTCATGAAGCAATGCGAAGGCTGAAACAGCAGCCGTCCGCAGCTCTTGCAGCGATCCCGAAGTGAAAATGAAGCATGGAGGTTTTCCAGTGCAGCAGTCATAGGCTGGGCGCTGTGAACATCTTGACCAGTTTCCGCAAAGCTCTTGGCCCTCGGCCCTACCGTCCGGCCTCCGACCGTTCTGTGCGACCCTGAGCATGACCTTCAGCCCAGCCCCGCAGCCGAAGCTCCTGCCATCCAAAACACACGTCCCATGACAGCAAACGTGACTTTGATGGTATGACATGGTATGATGGTGGGCAAGCACCATGCACAGGGCGAGACATGACTTGCAACAACCGCGAGACTAATAATAGCAACAGCAATCCACCCACAAAGCACCCTAAAGCCGGCTTGACATGGCCTCCCAAGCGCACAGGTCAGGTCGAAGGTACAAGCCGACCTTCAGGGCTGGAGGTATAGAAACGCAGTTTCAAGAATCTGCGACCATCCGTTGTCAGAGTGCGAAAGTTAAGCCCCAACAGAAGTCTCGCAGCAGAAGCTCAAAATCCACCTCTTGAAACAAGCCTCCAAAATGTTGCGACATGACAGAGCAAGGAGAAACATAACGGAGCTCTCGGCAACAGCAACTCTTAACAACGGAAGAATCGCAACTTGAACAGGAAGGAATGCGAGGTTAAGAAATCAACTAACCATGGTTGCTTGGAAGCTCAGGTCTTTCGGGTGTCCAGATACTAGGACCCGAATACAGCCTGGACTCTGATGATGGCATTTGAATTTGTTGGCTGCGGGTTCTTTCTCAGGGCTCTCCCCTCATGAACGGCTTCCCCTATCATTTGCGCAGTCTCTATGTGTCTACTCCCCCGACTACCTGATCCTTCCCTTTCTTGGTCACTTCGGAAGATCGCAAACCCTTACGGATGCCGAAAGGGCACCGTCAGCGTGTCCCACATGTAGTACACGGCATTGCTCTTCTGAAACTTTGACTGTGCCCAGATCTGGCGTGCAGTGCGGGCCACTTCGAGGGTCGGGTCCAGTCGCTGGATGAAGTCCTTCGTGACCGGGACATCGTCAGTGGCATCCAGGGGGACCAGCCGTAGGTCAAGGCCCATCTGTAGGAGATCTGTGGTAGCTTCGGGGTCCCAGAAAGCATTCCACTCGGCTGTGCCGTCGCTTTCCTGCGGTCGCTGGTCATCATCGTCGCGTACATTTCCATCTACATCCACGGCTCCTCCCATCCAGAACACAGTACCCACCTTGTTGATCAGCTCGGGGTGCTGCTTCAGCGTTGATGCCAAATTCGTCGCAGGCCCTGTGATAATGAAATCAGTTTTGTTTTCCTCCGCCTTAAACAAATAGTCTGCAAGCCATTCTCGTGCAGTGACCGCTGGCTTCGGCCTCGAACTGGAACTGGCAGAGGAATGCAAATAGATGTCAGCCACTTGCTGCATTTCGGAGGCCAGCTCTCGCCAAACACGGGGAAATTCATTGAAGCGTGCAGGAAAGTGTCCTGGCAACACGGGCGCATCATGACCAAACATGGAAAGCACTGTGGAGGAGACGTCGACGGCAGGTTCCAGCTCGCAGTCAGCAGGTGTGACCAGAACTGCCTTCAAGTCCACTGCCGGGCGAAAATTCAGCAGCACCAAAAGGACGAGAATGTCGTCGTAGTTGCCATCGTGGTCCAGAATGACTGGTGCAGTGTGCCTTCTTTGGTGTGTGGAACATAACTTGCCAACGGAGTCGCCCGAGCACTGGTCGGGGTAGCTTGGAATCGCGGCAGCCTTGTTCGTTGAGGCAGCGGTCCCAAGCAGCATGCACAGCACCGCGTGCATGGCGAAGAAAAGGCCTACAAGCTTCATGACTACCCCTGCCCTTGGCCTGAACACACCAACGCAGGATTCGGTGCACTTATGCTCTTACCAGTGCTTCTGGGCCGAGTGCAGATGCCCCTGTACAGAGTACCGTACCGCCTAACGGACATTGACATACGGGAGTTTCCGAAAACAGGGGACCCTACTATAGCACCCTAAATAGTAGGATCCTTATTTTGAGGACCCCAATATAAGGTACCCCTAATTTTCGGAAAGCCCACATACCAGCCAAAGCCAGTGCGACTAGGGTGCCGGTAGCAGCATCGCCTCGGCACAGATTTCCGCACGTAGAAACAGAAGTGCCCCAGCTTTTTGGGCATGAAATCACCAAGACGACAGCTGCAAATGCCAAGCCACGACGATCATGTTCTGATGAGGGTCCATGCCTCAGGCCATTCTGCTTGTAAGAGCCACGTTGCCGCTGCGAATGGAAACAATCATAACGTGAGCTTAGCGTGGGCAGTGCTTGCAGAGTGGGGTGCGCACAGGGAGCGCCCCACGAAGGCTTGAAGTGGTTTGATCACAGACAGCGGCTCGACCCCTCTCTGCTGCGAGACCGTGGTGTTAAGTTCCGCACTTGTAAAGACTCGCGAGAGCAGGCCGCCGGCGAACACGCCACACCTTCAGTTTGGCGAATGCAATTGCTGCCTTCAGGTTTCAACATGCAGGGTGAGAGAGCCGGAAGCAACTTGCTATCGGCCATGGGCCTAGTTCTTTTCCGAATCGGACTGAGGCACTGGATGGCCAGGTGTGCAAAGAACATCACCGATTCGCTCCTGCACTTCCACTTCGGACATCATGTATCGGAAAGAAATAGGATTTTGACCTGCCAAGAGTTGTGGACCGACACGGAAGTACTTTCAACAAAGGTCCCGGGGCCAAATTTCGTCGCCCATGAGCTCAAAGGAGCAGAAGTCAAGCAGTTACCTCAGAAGAATGCGCAGCGCATTTGCAAGTACGAACTGCCAGCCGCGAGAGCTTCAAACAACAGCCTGACGCTTCTACGTCAAAGCTTTCCGATCGCAACTCCAAGCTGCCAGTATAGAACAGCGCCGAGCCGAACCTTAACACACTCTTAGGCTGGCCCCTTATTTGGATTGGAAGCAGCAAAAGTATCTTGTTGAATATGTCCTGGATAGTCTCTGACCCGTCACCCGTTTTGACGTACTTGTGGAACTCCCACGTGTAAACAGATAATTAGTCTGACATCGACGGCGGATCCTCAAGCTTGGGGTCGCCAAAGAAAAGAAGCCAGCCGAGGCGCAGAAACTGCGCAAGACCTTGACACTCGCAGGGATGCAGCAGACCTCCCTGCAACTGCCGCTGCCTGGAACTTCTCTATTTGCTACCAAGATTCGGATGAAAGCGCTGGCTCCAATTACGTCCTCCATCAGGGTGGTCTCCACGTCCGAAGGCACTCGAAACATCAGGACCTATAGTGTTGACAAACAATCTCAACACAGGCGCAAATTCCAGTCACATACTTGTTTTGGGACTCTTTGCTAGCTTGTTCGCAACCAGGTTTACCATGGTTTACCATACCGTGAAGGAACTGCTGGGCTGATTGAGCCGAGCATTTTCAGCGCTTGCCTCCGAGCCACTAGGCCAATCATCTCGAGAAACTCACAGGAACGGATCAACGTGTGATCGCTAAAATTCTCGCAGTACATGACCTCGGCGAGAAGGTCCGATTCAAGCCCACACAGTTTCTGGAACTGTCGCGACGGAAGTCACCCTGGGATGGGCAAGATGTGGAGTGGATAAGGTGATGATAACCTCAAGCCACGGACGTGGAAAGACATGAACCAAACACATCAGAAGACCCGATGCCAAGAAATATGACAGCACCCCAATCCCCCTTCGTCCCATCAGCGACTCCGGAGGCTTCTCCGAGCCAAAGCTGCCCGCTGAACACAGGTTCAAATGTTGTTCCAGGCCACGAAGATGCTCTGCGCCGCCATATAAAGGACAAAGGTGACAGTAATGCCTGGCGTGCTAGAGCTGGAGTTTTGTAGTTTCCACTTGCCCCTGGTCTCTAGAGTAGATCTGCTTTCTGGAAACATTTTGGAAGATTCCAAGCAATTTTCGGGCCGAGCAGCCGTAGCCGGACATCTTATGTCCAAGGCAGAAGTGCGTTGCCAAAACAATCCTTGTGCGAGGGAGCTGCAAGGGGTTCCTAAGAAATTCAGCCCGGTACATCCCTCAAGCTTCTGTCCCTCCCTCTCTCGCTTTCCACACTGGATGCAGCCTGGCAGCGCCGCGGCCTTAGTTCAACAAGGGCTCGTTGCAGCTCCAGCTAACAGTTTGCAAACACCTGTCGTCACGCTTTGTGCAGGAGGAACGGCCGCTTCCCACGCGAGCCGAAGCAGCAGCCGCACGATCGTGCCTACAGTAGCTTGGCAAGCGTAGGACGCATGCATCTGCCACCTGCTGGTTTTCGCAAGGCTGTCGTCCTACTACGCTCAAAACGGCGGCGATTGATGGATGTGTAAAATGCCAATCGCCCACTAACTCTGCGAGGATGAGAGCAGCAGAGACTTCCACAACTCAACACAGTCGTTCTAGAAACTTTATGGCTGTGGCATGGGCGGTCGAGCTCGCCGAAAGCCTTTGCCCTCACTGAGATGCGCGCTGCCGGACAGTGTCAGCTGCACCGTCCAAGCTCTGTCCGTTAGGGCCTCTGCTTCTGCTTGCATAGGAAGAACAGCACCCGAAATCTTCTGCCAAGCATCGTTGGGGAGATGTGTTTCATGCAGCAAGGGAAACTACCCACTGCACGTACCCAGGGTGCGGACAGCACCCGAAAGTGGTCGTGCACCTGCCCATGGAAAAGTATGAACAATGCTGCGAGAAGGAACCGAGTGAATTCGGTGAACGTCTATAACTGCATCGATGAAGAGCATCTGAACTTAAAGCGAAATTGTCCCATGAAGTTTTGTGGTTCTGGTTTTTTCGACCTAGTCTTCGTGCTGGTGGCCAGCTCATCACGTCTGTTCGGGTTGCCCGGTGTTGTTTGAGTGGCTTGGTCGCCCGGGCTTCTCATACACTGCCTGCAGAGGCCCTGATTGCCCGTGCCTACAGCACCATCCTCGCACAACTCCGATGTGCTGGGGAAGAAGAGGAGGATGGCTACCATCAAACCTGAGGCGAGCAGGTGCGACCAAAACCCTAATCCTATCTCGAAAGAACCCTGCGGTCTTTGTTCGAAGTAGAACTCTCTGACACAGTGCGATCCCAGGACATTTTGGATCTGAGTGATCAGCATTATCCCGATAGAGTCTTGTGCGGGCTAACCCTTTGCCGCCATGGCACAGCACGCGAGCATGGCAATGCACACGGCCATCGCCCTGAATCAGTGGAACAACAAGAGCAGCCCTTTCCATGTTGGGCTCGTCCCCATGCAGCCTGACGATCCCCACAGTCGGTCAAGCGCCAGATGCAGCTGGGCCACTCCCCTGGCCCCGGCAGAACCTGCGCCCACGGACCTTGCATGTTGAATGCCCCTCCAGCCCCGGGTTCATGTCACCGGGACATGTGGATACCAAGCCTCTCTCCATGCGAATAAATGGCATCTAGACTCTAGACTGGCATGGTCGCCCAACTTCGTGCCAAAAGCGCACCTGTTGCGAGAAACGAAGCCAAAGCGGGGCCGCTCACAAGGCCGGCAGCTGTGCCGAGCTCCCAGTAGCCGAAGATCCTGAGCACGGCAGACGCCGGACTCAAAGCAGTAGAAGCAGTAGTACGTCGGAGCGGTAGCAGTGGTAGTAGTGGTGGTCGTATCTGTCGTCGTCGCCTTCAGAAGTAATAGAAGTAGAAGTACCAGTACGAGCAGAAGTAGACGTAGAAGCAGTAGTAGTAGTAGTAGTAGTAGTAGTAGTAGTAGTAGTAGTAGTAGTAGTAGTAGTAGTAGTAGTAGTAGTAGTAGTAGTGGTAGTAGTAGTAGTAGTAGTAGTAGTAGTTGTTGTTGTTGTTGTTGCAGTTCCACAAGGCAACTGGACAACATACAAAACATGCGACACAGGTGCCCAACACCTAGTACTAGCTGAGAGAGAAGAATTGCATCTGAGTGGCTTTGTGCGAGCATCCGTTGCACCTTGTGGTACAACACTTCAACTATTCGGGCTTCCAGACTGTGCAAAAAGATAGGCTCACAAACTCGCTGTACTCATGCTCCGTTTTCGAGTCCTACAGGAGCGCACCCTGCCCCGGCCACATCACGCCACGTGCGCAAGCAAGGCCGACTGTGCATGGCTACATGTCGAGAACGACTTGCTGGATTCAGTCATTCCGCACCATGTAATTGCAAACCAGTGGCTCAATCGCGCCAAGTATACATGGCCCAGGTATAAGGATCCTGTCGCCGCATGCACGGCTTTGCCAATGAACTTACTCTAGATCCCCATGTGTCTGCGACTCCCTGCTTCACTGCAGGGTGAGTCTTCGAGGCATGTGTTGCCGGAAGCGGAGATCCTTCTGCCAGCCCACTGAGAAATCTCAAGAGTATCATCAATGGCAGACCTCGAATGCGTGAGTCTGACAAGTCAAAACAACGACCGAGCACCATCAGCAGTAGCGTCGGTATGCGTATCGTCGTGTCCAGGGCTTCGCATGTAAAACCTTCTCGCCAGCATGATCATGCCTCATGTTACCAAGGTGCTTGATATGCGAAGGGCAAGGAGAAAGCCGATGCTGCAAATCAATACCTTAAACAATGGCGAACGAGGTTTTCTCTTGTTACTTCCGTTTTGGCCTGTTGACCGTTGTGGCGCCTGCTGCCGCAAGGACATGCAAGCTAGTCGATCTTACGATGCATTGGCAATCTTGTATGTGCAGGCAAGCGGCTATCGCACCTTACTAGCTGTTCACAGGCCCAGTGATGGAACGATTTGCGCAGTCTTGCACTCATTGCTTCTGTGAAGCCCCAACTGATTCGAAATGATTACTCCAACTGGGGCACAGGATGCCAGGACAGTCTCTTTCGGCTTCCTTGGGACGAGTAAGTCAACTACGTACTATGGCTTCCGTGGGAAGGTGACGGTGACATGTGCACTCAGCTCCGAAGCTCCTCAGCATGTACGCGCCCACAACAAGAACACCGAAAATTCCCCCGAAGGGTTCGGAGGCCAGCAGGACGCCAGAGGCCAAGCCTGAACATGAACAGAAGGGTGGATAGTGAAGGCTCTCGTGGGAGAGACAGTCTCCGACAGGATGCCTGGAAAGGTCTGAGAGTGCTGTGGACATGTCTGCAGCTGGCAAAAGCTGCATCATGTTTGGCCGTGGAGTCTTGGGATGTTGCTGCTCCACCGGGACCTCCCCTTCCGGCCTTCCGAAGGAATCTGGAAACTTCCCCATTCAAACTTCGATGCCTTAGTGGCTGAGGCTTGTCCTCTCGATGGGTGCTCTTCTTACCTCTTTGTCCGTTAACGTTACGCTGCAAGCCAAGGCCGCAGCCGTCGGAAACGCACCCTGGCCCTTCAGGCCGTCGATAATGATGTGGGCAGTGGTCAATACAGATGTCCTAAGATGCGCATTCTCCGAGATATTGTGTACGAGCAACAAGACTCGTTGTCTCGAGCATCTGCTATCGGCTGAGGACCGGTGGCGTGCTGAATCAATGGGGGCATGCTATGTTCATTCGCGGCAAGCCGTTCCTCCAACAGATGCTGTCGTCTCTATCAGGGATTGCAAAAGCTGGATTGCAAGAGCGGTGTTGCCTTGGTCGAAACGGCAGCTTGAAAGATGCTTGGCGGGTCAGCACTGGAGTCAGCACGTTACGTCGCTCGATCAACTGGCCCGTGACCGGACTCGGCCCAGCGTCACATTGATCTTCATGAGGACCATGAGCAAAACCTCGACTAACTTCGAGCGTGTCATTCCGAACAACTCGCTGCTGGTCTGACAATGCTGCAAACTTACGAATTCCACGAAAAGCGGCTTGATCATTCGGAATGTCTGCCGGCACAGCACCAAGAAAAACAAAATCTCGCTGAATTAAGCCGGAGACGTAGCCTACAGACTGACAGGCGAGAGCCGACAGTGCACATGCCATATCACAAGGAGCGCCGCTCAAACAGCACGTCTTCGAAAGGGGCCTAGAAGTTTCCGACTTCTGCCGTCATGGCTTTCGGTCTTTGTTGCGAGTTCTATTGGCATTTCGGAACTACCCCGTCTTCGGCATTGACAAGCTGAGTGGCAAGAAGAAGAGTCAACGACAACGGCGGCATCGTTCGGGGTACGCCGAAGGACGAGCGCCTGTTCGACCCAATTGGAGCAGGACCTTCACAACCTAAAAAACTGAGCGGCTACTGTCTAATTACAACACACAGGTATCAAGGAGCTGCAAGTCTGCTGCCATCTTGCCTGGCTCCAGGATCGTATGCCAAGGGCGACGCATTCCTCTCGCTAGCGATTACAGAAGCTAGTCAATCAGTAGCTGTAGTATACTCCTGTGCAGACCCGCATCATGCAACTGGCAGAGGCTCCAATGCACCTTTTGCGGTTTGCTAGCGGCGCTTCGGGCATTTTAGGAGCTACCCTCAGGGTAATGCTTCCCTTCGGGTCCTTCCCAGCCAGAAACCCAACAGCATCCTGGCGACGATTGAGAAGCATGTTTAACCGCAGCAGCAAAAACCATTACGCAGAGTCGCGACAGTATCTCATAATCTTTTGATATCTTTTGCTGTCCGTGCTTTTGCGAATGTCGTCAAGAACAAACTCTAACCATCATTGCTTCCCCAGCGTCCCCGAGTTGCAGCAAACGATGAGCAGAAGGACGAGAGCCACAGGAAGCCTCAAATGTCAACACGGACACTTCGGATGCACGAGGGATGGTTTGCAGGTGGCACAGAGTTGTCACAACCCTGACACACGTTTCTATTGGTCTAGTTAATTCAACTTGCGCACATGCAGGTATTGTTTTCACTCCTGAAGCTGAGCTCAGACGTCTTACTTGCAGTTGGAATGCATCATGAGGAGCAAGACCGCAACGTGAAGCTTGCTGAAGGTGACAACTCCGTCCGTGATGACCTGAGGGACTATTACCATGACTACGATTGTACCAATTCATGGCGTGCTTTCGGCATCCCGCCGGACCATCGAAACGTCTATGAAACCTCTGCAGACACTTCCGGTAGCAGTGGGCAACTCATAGGACTGATGAAAGATCAGGTGGCGCAATGCTCAGGAATGTCTCCCGTGACTTCGCCGCCATGCACCTTGGTGTCAAAATGTGCCAAAGAAGGTGTTCGTCGTTTGCAGATTAAGCAATGATGGAATCGAGCGTGGCGTTTTTTGATGTTTTTTGAGGTAAGGCTCGGCCGCTATGCCTGCAGAGGCTTTTAGAAGTTAACCTCGTGAGGACACACCTCACGAGCCTCCACACCTCACGAGCCTCACGAGACGCGACACCAGGTGCGGAATAAAGCAGCTCAGGCTAAGTTCGGACAGAGATTCGTCAACATGAAGCTTACGCCGCCATCACATGAAGAGGAGACATAGCTTCTATCAGCATCCGAAACAGCCGCACAGTGTCAACTCTCTCTTCTGTGCCTGTGCCGGCGGGAGATCTTTTGGGAGAGGTTTTAAGCCTTCAGAACTTCACCTGCGATTGGCGGCACGCCCGGACACTAAGTAGCTTCCGGATTAAAACGAGACAAGTGCGCGGAGCAAGAAACTAAGTTCTGGCTTTCAAGAGTCACATGTGCGTCCAAGAGGCAGGAGGTCCAGCAAGCATAGCCAAACCGAATGCAACAGAGCTTGTCCTCGACTCGTGGTCTTGACTGACGAGAGTATAGCTCGGAGGCAGAAGGTCAGCAGCACTGGTACTGCTCGCGACAGTCGTGATTGTGTTACTGATACGCAAGCATGGATGAGTCCACAGTTTGTCTGGCGTCCTTGACGGCTTGTCGGTAGGCTGATTCGACCTGAGCTTGGAGGTGTGGCCAATTACTTCTCCCGTTCCAGATCCGATGAAATCGCGGAAGCTGCACCGAGCCGTGTTCCCTGCCGAGATGCGGCGCCTTCAGGTCCTTCTTCGGGTTGATGGTCAGAGCAAGCCTCCGCACGATTACAGGCTCTCTTGGGAAGATTCGCGGCTTTGCTCTGCATGTGATAAAGTAGCGACCTTGAGGGCAGATACCTGCCCTAGCCGGGGCCCTAGCTCCATTTTCAATGTGCAACGCACGAAGGATCATAGAGACAAGGCATTCCGAACGCCAGTTGCCTGGTCTTCCCGGAGTCATCCTTGTCGGACTTCTTGTTTTCCTGAAGAGCGTAGTGGCATTTAACCACCTGACCTCCCTCTCTTTTTGAATTACGTGTGGTTGACTGACTGCTACTTGTCGGAGGCAAGTAGGGATTCAGGCGTCTCAGTCGCTTTGTAGGATGGGCTACTGCAGCCTCTATTGTCAGTCGAGCTCTGGCATGCAGTCTAAGATAGTCTAAGTCTATGTTTGTGGCAATTGCTGGCGAAAAGACACTCGGAGGCAGCTTCCTGGCCAGGCGGCGATGGGTATCCCAGCAGCCGTGGCATTTTGCAGCGGGAAAGACAAAGGCCGGAGTCCATCCTTCATCAGCCTCAAGGCGGCTCCCGCAGACTTAGAAGCCCTTCCATGCAATAAAAGGGTGACCCATCAAAGGACTGCAACTGGTTTACTTACAGCCGGTCACCGTTGAGATGCTGACCCACGAGCGATGAGTTCTGCGCATTTCGCTCTACAAAGCTTTCTGCCAAGGATCGCTTCCTCTTCCAGTGGGCCTGGGGTGTTTCAAGCACGGTCTGGTTGGTTTGGACACCCGAATGCCCGACGGCGTGACATCGGGGAGTACCCAATTCCAGCCCGGGGGTCGCTGGCAAACTCCTGACCAAGACTTCCGAGATGACTAACCCCTCTTTCAGAACGCTCTGCGAAGGATTCATCCCGTCACCGAACAGGATGACAGGAAGCCCACCTGTTATGCTGATATTGATTGCTGTTGGTCAAACATGCTTAGCCATGCTGTGCGAAGGGCGGCCTGCTTTTTTCAGAATGGTTTGTGGAATCAGGGCTCGTTGTCGTCACTCTTGTCCAAGTGGCGTGCCAAAACGATACACGCTCTCTGCTGTGTCATCTTGAACATTCTCGACCGAGAATAGAACCTGGGCAGCATGGCCTGACAATAGAAAGTCTATCGGTCTTAGCAGTCTTACTCAAGCCAAGTGTGTGATACCATTGGCGGCCACAGCCGTCATGCTGCAGCCTCGGCGCTCAACGGCAGGGATATCTGCACAGTTTCCTGCCAGCACGCAGGATAAGAAACCACCAACATCCGTAGGCCTAGCTGCCCTAGCTAAAGCTGTCGTGCCGCTCACGGGTGAACATGATCGTTTCAAGCCTGCTTGCAGTGGCAGGAGCCAGCACGGAGAAGGTCCTCCTGCAGTTGCACATCAAGCCCCGGCTCTTGCTACAGAAACAAGCTTCATGACTCATGATGCTCGGTGTCTGCATCTTCGAATTGCTTTGGGCCATAGGAGTCTGGTCAGGCCTCCGAGCTACCAAGGGCACCCTGCTAGCACTTCAGGCCTCCAGCTTCAGCGAGCGCGCATCTTTCTGACCTGTTGCAGAAGTCGCATGCAACGCATCAACACCGATTCATGCAGCGAAACGGAAAGCTGAGCCGGTGGAGCAGAAGTCGATAGATTTGGGCGAATGCCCTGCCCTGCAATCCTGTGGTCCGGACTAGCATCGCGACGGGAGAGGCGACCACCGTCCAAGCTCAAGCTAAGAAAGTCGGCCTCCAAGACTCGCAAAGTGCAAACACAGCACATGTTCTCTTTCGTTGTGCTATGTCAATGTTGGAGGAACACCCCATGGGCCTCATGTAGCTGCCACTCATCTTGCGCAGTGTACGCGGCCTCATGATCACAACTCCACTGGTCTAGCAGTGCCGCTGGTGGTGTGGTATATGGACTCCGGCTCAAACGCCGGATTCAAAATCTGCTTTTTGTGTTCCCGAGCTAGGAAGTTCGTGGTGAATGCAGTAGCCCCTCTTTCTGGATGAGCAGCCTGTACTGACCGAGAGCATTTCCAACTGCCTCAGCTCAAATGGAATCAAATCAAGAGCGTTCCGCATTTCTGCAGTCACTGAAGCGCCTCTGAAACCAGCACTTCGCGAGCAACAATCAAACAACCATGTACAAGCATGTCATTTCAAAGAGTCATATGTTACCCGCAGCGAACTGTGGTAAGTAGAAGCACGGAGTCAGGGGAAGCTGCAGTCTGACAGCCCTGTCTGACAGAAAGGGCGGCTTGACCATGAACGTGAAAAACAAAAAATGGAATGCCGTCCCGTATCTGCTACTGTGTGGTGCGACATGGTGAAGCCATCAAGCCCCGTGCCAGATTGAACGCTGGAGGTTCTATTGGCCACATCTCAGAAGCAGAGAACCTGTCGTATGCAAACGGGTCACCAGATTGCGAAGGACACTCGCCGAACGCCCAACACTGGCATGTCCCATATCCTGACGGACTTATTCAGCACGCTCTGCTTTGCCGCATTTTTAGAACACGAGATTTTCAGCGATGGCTCTGCTCGCATGTACTGTTCCATGCTGTTCATCAGCCTCACCATTCTTTAGCCAAGTTTCCAAGATTCGGCCGGCAAGCAAGCTGATCGGCTGCCGCCTTGAGAACGACGTCCACACCGTGGCAAAACGGACGCCACTTGCACTTGCAGGCACCCTCCTGGCGAGTGCGAGAAGGCTTCGTGTTTGGAGCTTTGCATGGCTTTCGGCCATCGGCGCCTCCGGGATGCAGCTCCAAAGGCTGTGCGTGGTTCTGCATTGCGCGGCCTGTGCCAACACACCCACTTCCTTGAGACCTGATCTGAGGTGTCACTGGCAGGTCTCTGCCTCCAAGCCCAGGAGGTCACAAGCCTCGCCGACGGTGTCTGGCACCTGTTCGAAGTCGATCGAACAACTTGGACCCTGTCGTTTCTCGAAGAGCCCCGTCAAAGCAGCGTTGGGTGCCGGCACCAGGGAGACGTTGTTCAGCTCCGGAATTGCGTAGTGAACAAGATCACAGAACCTTACTTCTTTGAAATGATGTTTTTGGGCAGCACGAGACGTCACGATGCGATCCAAAAAGCATGACCCAAGTCCCTGTGTTTGTTTAGCTCAACGAAAAGAATTACCAAAACCTTGTCCCAGACACGTTTGAGACCTGTTGGCAGGTTGAGTGCCGACTTGACTGGCGTTTCTTGTAGTGACACCTGGCCAGTTGCAGCAAGGGCACGAGTACATATAACATGCCTAGCAGGGGACGGCACCTGATTTCGAAACCGAAGTGGCTGAGATGTTTGGCACGACGCTGCCCTGGTCCAGGGGCTGGGAGTGCGGTGTCTGCACAGAGTAGGACAGGAGTTGAGATGAGTTCTGGGCCTCATCGAACGGCTCCTCCACCCTGGCGGGTCGCACGCTGCCAGCTTCCCAGCAGCATAGCAAGCCCATGAGATGCGACCTTTGCAAGCCATTGAACCCCCACTCCGACAAGCGTCGAAGTGACAAGATGCTACACTTTGGAAGCTGCATTGCTGGGATAGCACAAACGCGTCAGTGTCCACATGATCCGTATGAACGCACGAGAATGGACGTGACGACGCCCCGGATCTTTTTCCAACCGCCGCTCGTGGCTGGTGCTTGTCCTCGCATTGCTTACCGAGGGAACATTGGAAACATCATCATCCCCACCCTGAGCCGCAAGGCACGGGGTGCAGCAAACTGCCGGACAACTTGCTGCCGTTCTCGGATTGAGCTAAAAACCTGTCATGAAAACATGTCTGCTGTGCAGCTTGCAGCTGAGCGTCGGTGGGCCGAAAGGAGTTCTCGCTACTGGTGCTGCCGTCGTCGTGGTTGTTGTGGTTGTGGTCGTCACCGTTGTGGTAGGGATTGAGAAGGGGCACTTCACGCTATCTGGATAAGTCGAACTGAAGGTTTCCGACATGCAGCATGAGCAGGTGCAAGTCTCTGCTGCAGCATCATCTGGCAAACCATTGTACCATTTGTTGGAGAACACTGCAGTACCCGGTTGCAGGAAGACCTCTTGACACACTCGGGCTGCTGGTGCCGCCCCGTGGTAGGCTAATTCCTGGGCCGCTTACGACATGCCAACTTCCTCAATGGATGCTAAACTTCTGCTGATTTCATGCACCGGAGAAACGTGCAGACGAAGGGTATCTTTTAAATTGCTTGTGCATTCAAGAAGCAACAGGCAGGGTGCTGTACGTCTTTGCCTGTGCAGAGTAAAATCACGAAAACTATAGTTTAAAAGTGAAAAGACACTCTGGTTGGAATATTCGCTCGCCTTACAAGCATCGATGGCAGGCGCCAGTTCGCCGTCCTGGCAGGCAACATTCGAATTCGTCGATGAGGCCATGCTCCAACTCATTATTCATCGGGCGCGTGCAGAAACGCACGTGTGTGCTGGTGTATGTGTGCCAGCATTCCTGCATGTGTCTGCGGTCTGCACCCTACCCCTAATCTACATCTAGAACCGACAGGTTCCTAAATGCTAGACTGATCTGCAGATGCCGACTCGGGGTCGTCGGGCCGTTCTGCCTGCCCGTTAGGAAGCCGTCGTCAGGACCGTCGTGGTCGTTGTCGCATTTGCTGTCAACTGTTCTTGTGGAAATTTGTGCTGACTCATGGCCTCGTAGTTTGGAGCTTGGCTTTCCCGCCAGTTTTGGGTCACCTTCCTTGCAACCTGCCTCGCCTGTGTGGACCTGCCTGCCCTGTCTGCCGGCCGAATAGCTTGTTCGCTTCTTAGATTTCGCGCATGATTCCATCATGCCTTGGCAGCCCCGGGCTTAACTTTGGGTGGCCTGTGGGGATGAAGTATAACAGCGGCCAGTCGATGTCAAGCAGTAATCGGTGACAACGGCCGAGCTTCGATAGGAAAGGAACACATGACTCATATAATGACATCTGATGCGGTTTGGACAGAAGAGCCCCTAGCACGCACGGCACCGCCTACCTCTAGCAGGAGTGCCGATATCAGGCACTCGATCCGAAGGACGGCCCGCCATTCGACCTGCAGGGTTTCTCTGTAGCGGCGAGGCCCTTGGTGCAGCTTTATGACAGCCTTGGGCCTTGGAGGTGGCTTCGCCCTCCTCCGCCAGAGCAACGACGGACCCGTAGAGCTGCACCTGACGGGCCGAACGCCGAAGCTCTGAGCTCAAAGGTTGGGCATTCTGTCCGTCTGTCTGTCTGCTCTCCCGATGTTCTCGTCTTGGTAGGCAACTGCGCCTTCTCGTCGTAGCATTCCGTATACTTGAGACAGGTGTAGTTCTTGTGCAGGCCGCAGGCCTTGTCCTCAAACGATGCCTGCATCAGAGGATCAATGGCTGCGAGATTTTCGGCGACCAGCCAAAGTGAGCAAATCCTAAGAGTTATTCACAGATATTCACAGCGTGATATATATATATATATATATATATATATATATTAATATATATATATATATATATATATCATATATATATATACACATATTTATACATACACACATACGTACAAACACTCATCCTTTCCATACTGTTCTGCATCGGAAGATTAGCAAGTCCTGGCCTGTTTCGTGTCACAGGCGATCTTCTTGTCATAGTAGCTGCAGATCTTCTCATGGCAAAGGTCCTCGTTCTTGAAGGGTGTGGCAGTGGCATTGTCACACTTCAACTTCTTGTCCAATAAGGCGTTGTATGTGTCGGTATAAAACCTGAGCGAAGCCAGTAATTCGACTGCACAGCTCTCACCTCGAAGGATCTCGTTGTGGCACATGCACAACCCCCACATCAAGCTGCATGGAGAACAGCAGTCTCGAAACGACGATGCCCTTTCAAGCAAGACAGGCTGCTTCTCCATTTCTAAAAGGTAGTTGCCAATGGTCGGGGTGGCAGTGCCCTCCGACATCTCACAGGTCTTGGCGGGACTGGGAAATACCTGAGCCGGCAGGTGTTTTTCTTCTAAACCCTGGTGCCGCCGCCGCCGCGCTATGCACATCGGGTATGGAGGCAACTCAGTACCGGCAAAATGCTCGACAAGACTTGAAAACTTATCCAGGCCAAGTGCCCGTGCCGCCTCATAAGCATCGCAAATGGCCTTCTTCTCGTTCTCCCAGAGCTGTCGTGCCACAATGCAAGCGGTGTCATAGTCCGCCCAGATGGAATCCTGTCACGAAGGCATGGGGAGCTTCGCTTTCTGAACTCTTGGGGATCCCTCAACCGTTCTCTTGACTTTTCTCTGCAGAGCCCCAGGTAGGAGTTTACCAATCAGAAGCAGTCCTCCTCTAGTCGGCAATGCGAATGCTGTGAGGACAACGTCTTCAAACCTGCATCGTAGTCCTGCGAGAGAGGCTATGGCTTTGAAACTCTGCGGAGGTGGCAGAGCAAGTATCTGCTCTTCAGCCACCCTCTGCACTCGCATGACTCGACTAGCAACAGAAGCAGTCGACTCGACTGCCGCTTGGTGGTTGTCGCAACAAGCTTTCAGCCATGACCCACTGCCCTGACGACTTGACATTCTCAAGTCTCAAGCTTCAAGCCCAAGCCTCTTTAGCTCAACAGTTCTTCGACATTGTCGTCAGAGAAATGTGCAGTCAGGGCGCTGTATCGTTGGGGTGAAGGCAGGTGCTGAGGTTTGCCCACGCCTGGCCAATGCTGGGCCAATCGCGTGCACGCTCTTGGAGATGAGAGGAATGCTCTCGTGAACAATCAGTAATGAGTGGTCACTAGGAGTGTCTTGCTCAAAGACGTTCCGTTGGATGCCAAAGCTGAAAGAAAGGGAGCGGCGAGCCTCGTCCAAGTCTTCCTGAGTCTGATTCTTGCGGAGCAAGATGTTTGCCTTCCTTGGGTGGCATTTTGGCGCAGCACTTCTGGGAGTGGAAAGCAAGCTCGAACGAAACCCTGCTGAAAATTGCTCTGCATGCTTGCGCAATTGTGGCAATGGAGGGCACAAACAAGGCTTGTTGCTGTAAGCTGAATCTTATTTCGAGATGCTAAAGGCCCCCATCTGCTTTGCTATGCTTCGCTTAAGGGTCCGGATTAAGGAGGGGTTCCTGCCGAAACAGAAGTCAGAATTGCCCGCTGCTACTCCTACTGCTTGCTGACAACCCAAAGCTCTTGCGGAGCTGCAGGTGAGCTGAGTCGCATGGTCTTCTCGAGCAAGTCGGAAATCTCGTTCAAGAATACCGTCCTTAGCTAAATGAGTTTTGCCGCTCGGCGGCTTGCAAAATCAAGGCTGTGATCTGTAACTCTTCAGCACGGCGTCAGATTGGAGGCCTCTGCCTTATGATCCTCCTTGGAGATTCTCGTCTGCGCCATACCCAGGATGGAAGACTCGATGTTCTTCAAGGTTGCGGACTCTGGATTCGTGAGCTTCCTGGGCGAACTGTTGTCTGGTTCATGTCAAGACAACACGGACAGGACCTCTGCACAGCCAAGTCACATTCGCCTGGTCATCTTCTCCTCGATGAGTTTCATCCTCGATGTTCAGCACTTCGCAACACACTCAATACACATTGTCTGTTCAAGTTGGTTCGAACATCTTCAGGCCGTGTAGGTGCCGGCAAGGGGCTGAGAAGCAAGAGTCGCTGCCTGGACTAAGGGGACCAGAACCGGAAGAAGGCGGATGAGCTGCATTGTCCTTCGGTTTTGGATGCTTGCGACAATTCAGCGCACTTCTCATGTCAACCCTGCCGCCTATTATATAAAAGGCCGGAGCTGTGGCCACAACGTAAAGACAATTTCATGAAGACGGTCCTGGATGCCCAGGAGGGGCTGGTTGCAGAGAGGTATGAGGCGTTTGCACAACTGCAGGGACGCGAAACAACCTCTTGCACTTGAGCCCAAGGCGGCAGTGACAGGTACGGCACGGCATCTGACGGACCGTAGAAGTTTCCTTCAAAGCCCCTCGCCAAGTACTGTAGCCATCCTGGCTGCGTATGTGTGGATCCCTGAGCCTTGGACCACTTGGCACGTGTCATTCCAGGCTCGTGGCCTGCAGTCAGGCCTCAAGACCAAGGGGCAGCGTGGGACATCGTTTCAGTACTCAGGCATCGTGTTGCCCCCGCCTTCGTAGGAGCGAGTACGGAGACTTGAAGGGATTTCGCAAACCAAGACATCTGTGCTCCGGTGCAGCTGCCCGCGACACTTGAGGCAAAGATGCTCTTCCGGTCGGCGCGGCTGGTCAACCGGGATCGTAGCTGTGCGAAAGCTAACAGAAACAGTTGCCATACATGCGGGTCGCTGTGCCAACGTGTCCACTGCATGGACAGTCAGAGAATGACAAACACTTGACTGCTGCTAGGGGAAAAGGAGATACCCCTTGTCGTCTCGAAAAGATTCGTTGCCTCATGGTCAACCAGCCTTTCCAGCAGCATGTCAGAGCGGTCCTTGAAGACTTTCGTTGGGCTTTGTCGTGGAGGTTTGTTGCGACTGTTTACAATTTCGAGCTGAGGAGGTGGCCATGGAGTCCATATCGAGGATATCAATCCAAGCGGAACCCCCTGTGAAAGGGATGAAAGCTTAGGGTGCAAAACAGCGCTAGACTTATGCGTTTGCACCATCTCCACGACGACACTGTCATGACGTGTCTTAACCGGGGCCACTATGACTATAGCCTACCTGCACAATGGAATCCAGGTCGTAGAATAGTACTCGTAGAACCAGCTCGGGCATTTGGACTGCAAGCATCTTGGCACCTCCGCCGAGAAGTGCACAGTCTGGGTAGTCGTGCCACGACACGCCGTCTGCCAACACGAGCACCACGCGCATGGTGCCTGAATGCAAAGATCCGACCGGCGGAAACGGCACATGCGGTCATGCATCGGCTTTGCTGAGTGCAAGCCCTTTCCGGGATGCACGCCTGTCAGCTGAGATGGCGCGAAGAATTGCTCCCATCCGTCCCATGGAGTGTGGACGTTGAGGCAGTGCAGGCCTCCAGCAGAGTCATAACAGCGCCTTTTGCACATTCCCTCCCTCCTCCCTCCGCAGCCATCTCCCCGCAAGATGACCTTCGCACCGGCCGGGGCCCCGAGGCCCCGACAAATTAAGGTACAAGAGTGGCCGGTCACCTCGAGCAGAGACATCGGCAGCTTCCGAGAAAAAACTGCATCTGGGGCCCGGTCCCTTGGAGCAATGAAGGGCACAGCCTGCAGACATCTGCAGACTTTTTGAGCGGAATGGACACAACAAGGATCATCGCGCAGCTGACCGCCTTGTCGAAGTCTTCCAGGGCCTTGAGCGGGAGTCGGACCACCTTTGCACATACTCCGGCCGTGTCTGCTTTGAGGCGGGGCAGAGAGCCAGGATGCCTCGATGCCAGACATCGCCTGGTGCTCGATCCCTGGCACAGGCAGAAGGGGATGGTACGACCTGAGTGGGTTCGCCGATGCATCATCCGGACATCCCCAGCCGCAGTGGGGGCAGCGCGTGCTTCCCACGATGCTTCCGCGGCAATGTGCACAATCGCATTCCTTGCGCCGACGCCGGGTGGTTGAGCATCTTGACTCGGCAAATCTGTCTTCAGCTTGCCCTCACACTGCGGCGTGGGCCTCCCAATCCTCGTCATCCCAGTCTTCGTCATCTTCCTCCTCTCATTGTCAACGTGCAACACCCCGGCAAAAAGTGCTGTCAACTACCTTTTTGCAGAGGTCAGAGTATCTCTACTATCACTGCAAGCTGCCATGCAAAGTCACCACATAGAAGCACGATGCTGCACTTGTCGCTTGCACAAGCAGGCTTCGAGCCCGTTCCTCCCAGTCCTCATCCTCCTGACATACAGAGGCTTCGCACAAGGAAAAGGTGTTCTCTTTGCGTCGACAAATCCAAAGTTTGCAGCTGTAAGCACCGCACTTCACTGTAGTCAATCAACCCGAGCGCCGAGTCTATCTCAGCTTTCCTCGGCTTGGTCGCGCAGTCGCCGGAGTCGCGGGGCTCAGGGGGCGCCGGGATGTTGCAGGCAAGGTTCTTCGAGGGCTCGGCAAACCTGCAACTCCGCTCTCAAAAGATCGGCCGAGAGAAGCCTTCAGCTTGACCCGTGAATTATCCACCGAGCTGCCCTCGCGCTGTCTTCAGCAGTGCCACGATCTCCTCTCCCGCATCAAGGACAAAAGCAAAACGACAAACGGGGCTGCCTACTGCTTCACGGAAATCCCGCCTGGGCTGCACGCCCGTGTAGCTGCTCGTCTTCCACGAAGGTGTAAACGACATCTGGGTATGGCCAAGGCAAGTTCACATGTCATCGCGTTTCTCGGAGTGCAACATGTAAAGCTCAGGCACGTGGAAACCGCGGATTGTTCCTCGGCTGGCATTATTGTGGGCCACCCTCCTCTCTTGCAGATTTCCCCCGAGCGAAAGCAAAGCCTAACCCCGAGATCACATCGATGCACCGGAATGATCAGGTCAGAAGGTCACTAAGTCACTACGCAAGATGCAGAAATTCAGTCAGTTGATATTTGCCAAGATTCGCTTCTTGCGGCTCCAAAGCTCCCAAGCGGCGCAAATAGTCGGTCGCACTGCGCGCGACGTCGTAGTTAATCAGGATCCTTGGATGGGATCTTCTCCGCACCAAAGAGTCTCCACGAGATACGGCTTCATTTTAATCTTTTGCTCCGAACATGTCCCACAAGAAGACATGATTCGATGAAATGATCCGCCGATGGGTACTGTATCCTATACTTGTGCGCCTTTCCCCAGACCCCATTACTGTTGCCAGGTTCGTTTCTCAAATCAAGTATACAGTACGTACAATGATACGACAAACCTGCCCTTGCTGGAAGCAATCAGGTTGCTGGCAACTTCCTGGTGTCCGTGGCAACGTTCCTGAGCAATGCACGGGGCACAGTGGAACAGAACCTACGCCCGGGCTAGCAGCAACAGTTGGATTGGACTGCCGCTACCAGCTGACCCAACCAGGGCCCCAGCGGCTGTTTGCCTGCAGCATGTTAGCATCACAGACGACTCGAGCAACTGTTTTGCTCTCGAAGCTTCTTCCAAATCTGTTTCGCGACACTCTGCAATGCACCCATTTAAGGTGTGGCCTTGTCGTCGGTCGCGACAACCTGAGATTGTTGCCGCCGAGGGCGGCCGACACAGCAGCAGATCATCGGAAGGCAAACTAGCATTGCAGCTCATATATCATATATGCAGATGCGATGCCGCAACTTTGGGAAACGCTCCCCTCCTGCACTGCCGGGCTCACGTGGCCAACTGATATAAGAAGGGCTAAAGCACACAGTTGTCTTACGCGTGACTGCCCGCTTTCTCTCACGAAATCTGGCCCTGGTAGCTTTGCAACCGACATTGGTCGTTCTTGCATGTGAAAGAAAGGCCTTATCACTTGAGGATGTCGGAAGAACAGACTCGTTTTCCAAACTTCGTTGTGGAGGCGCCGCCCCTTCCGAGCGGCTTGCATCTTTTGTGATGTTTAGCCTCTGTTTTCAATTCGCTAGTCCAGTCCCTTTCGAGCGGCGTGCTCCTTTTTTCTTAAACGCTCAAGCCACCCTTTCGAGCGATGTTGTCCCGTATTTTTCTTCAAAGGCTCGAATCACTTTCGAGCCGCATGCTGCTTTTTCTCAAATGCTCTAGTTCGCAGTTTGCAGGATCCACAATCCTGGAGGTCTTCTGATTGTTTCCTGGTCCTGGTCGGCTTGGTAGTGCTCGTGGTTTGTGGCAACAGCGCTGGAAGAAAACAGATGGCAACAAGTTGTTACCATTCCCAAGGAAGTCAGGCCAGTTCGACTGGTTACGCTCTCACAACTTGGACACCCGTTCCACTGCTTGGGTATCACCCCTAGCATAATTCTCAAATGCACGAGCCCCTTTCGAGCGGCTTGCCACTTGCTCTCCAAGGCTTATGTGTGTAACTATGTATGTATATAAAGATAGATAGGTTGATCGATAGATGAATAGATGACTAGATAGATACAGTAGCAGGAACACGGCCGTGAGCAGGAGGTACAATTGTCCCCAGCCCGAGGTTGTTCGACGTGTCTTGGGCAAGCTTGAAACAGTTGCCGTGAATGTAGGATGCTGAGAACTGCGGCCCTTGAAAACGAGGCAATGCCTCTAGCCCACCATCTTCGCTCCTGGCCCCACAGGCAGCGCACCTCAGTGGCAAGCATCTCCTCTAAACTATCAGGCTGAAAGCGGTTTTCTGTATCTTCGATTAGGCCAATTGAGACAAAGCGGCTCCTCGGAGAGCCAGCCGTTGATCAGGGTACAGCGCCCACAGGCCCAGTCGTGCATCCAACTGTCAAATGGGTTTCTTGCTGAACTCCAGAGACTTGGCCAACATGCAACCGAAAGTGCACATATGGAATCCTTGAGTGGCAAACAGGCCTGCGTGCTGACAGCATGAAGAAATCCTGAAACCGCCCTGAAGTAACAGTTTTCCGCTCAACTAAGCCTGAGCTCGTCGAGCCGAGGCCAAAGAAGCAAGAGCACTGATCGTTTCTGGCCTGCTCATCTCCGGGTCAAGCTTCTCGCTCAGCGGGGCATCTGTGCAAGCTCGCGATGCTGTGGCCGCACGGCCCTATGTTTGCTTGGCAGCCGATTTCCTGGTGCTTCCCGTCAGGGCAGAAGATGCTTCATGAGCCACGATGCCTCCTGCTGCGTCTGTGGACACTGCGGCTTCCATAGCCTGGCAGAGTGGACGATGTCGTCATGCTGCTCCAACATGCACATGTTAGGGGTCACGTCCAGAACCGGAGTAGGCAAGCCTGTTAGTTAAGAAAAACCCGTGCGCCCGTGCTGTGCCAACTGTCCGAATCGCACAGCGCCAGCCCTGCTTTCGTGCAAAATTCCTCTCGCCTTTCGGCACCCTGCTCGGCTGCGCGCTGCAGCCGCCAAGGCCTCTGCACACAGCTGGTTGTCAGCATCCCCACTATTAACTATTCACGAAAGCCAGGTTTGTGGTCCGCGAGGGGCGTAGTTTTAGGGTGCATGCGTCACTGGGCATGTTTCGCATAGCGACATACCAGGCATCACCCGCCCTCCCTCCGTCTTCCAGTCCTTTCAGAACTGCCAGAGAAACAGCAATTGAACGGGTTGCGAAGAGAAGTGACAACTTTGAAGGCTGCAGTCAGGGAAACGTCGACACAGCAAACTCGGCTATCATGCACAGATGTTCTCCGGCGCCTGCCGTCGACTCCGATCAACCACGGATGCAGCCTCGACAATGCCATGTGTTGGTGCGAGTGCGGAATTGGATCAGCTCATGCCGTGGCCAAACATTCCAAACTCAAATTACCCGCGAGCTCTGCAGTGCCGTGGAGATCTCAGAGTAGATCCGACTGTCTGAGCCTGCGCTTGGGAAGCCGTGTTTGCAAACACGATCGCCGGACCTTTGCCACTTCTGGAGATGAAAGCTGCCATGCTTGTTGCAGCATATCTCCTCCATTCGGGTTCCGAGCCGGAATCCGCTGGCAGGCGATCCAAGAGCTGTTGTAAACGCTCCTCCTGCACAGTTACACAGTTACACTTCGTTTCAGTCCATGACTTTCACAGGCGATCAGCAAAAAACCCTGGTTCCCCATCCAAGCCACCTTGGAGTCGTAGTCCTCGCCGCCTACGAGTCCGAACTGATGAACGGCTTTCAGCATTGCCTTCACTTCCGGAGGCACCTGCCAAGAAAAGTTCATGTGTCATGCATCTGTTGATGCAAAGCGCCCTGCACGGCTCTTTGTAGGACTCTATCATGAAGTGGCTGCAATTAGCTGCCGGCCCACTTCACAAGCCTCTTCGCCGCTCTTGTCAGGGCTTTCAGTTTTCCGACGCTTCCGAGTGCATGGCGCACTCTTGCCTCCAGATGAATGAAACGAGCACATGAACCACCACTGCAGGAGCATTAGCTGCGCTACTTCAACTGTCCAGTGCCAAGTGGATGCGTCGCGTCACAGAATTAGGTTGGGGCTTTGCATGGGGCCGAGGCAGGCTGTTCCCGGAGCCTCCACCTTTGTGGGGGCGCTTTGATCCGGCCCAAGTTCGCTCAGGGGGCATCGTGCTATAAGCCTACTACTGTAACTTCTGAGGATACAACAACTCGTCGGTGGAATCCTGCATGAAGTTTGGCTTGTCTGAATTTGTCGATCTGGTCGCGGTGCCCTGCATGAAGTTTGGCTTGTCTGAATTTGTCGATCTGGTCGCGGTGGGTGCCTTCGCTGGCACTGCACGTGCCCCGTGCTTGTCGAGCCCAGCATTTACCGAGTCACGGAAAGTCAAGCCAAGCAGGAAAACACAAGCTTTTCCAAGTAGTGGAGTAGTACGAGGAGATGCTAGTAACGCCTACGGCAATCAGGATGACACTGATTATGGCGCACAGCATGCTGCCGAATGCCGCTGCTATTGCCGCAGGCTCCTTTCATCACTCTAAGCGTAAGGTGTAAGGTCACGAGCCAGTCGGACTCCGCCCCGCTTTTGCGAGGCCAAGTCGGCAGGACTCCCTGCAAGTCCTTCTGGAGAGCATCTTTTGTCGTCGGCTCTGAAACCTACCCGACTCGACAGGGAGCCTTTCTTAGTCAACTGCTGGCTTTGGCAGGATGCCCCAGGGCCATGCTTCTCCCCGGAGTTTGATAGCAGCTTGGACCAGAGAGGTGCTTGAGGCAGCGCTTAAGCTTATAGCGACAGCCCAGAGGTGCCGGAAGGCAGGGGCTTGCTCATGGTCTGTACACGCCTTTTCGCTTCTGCAAGAATTCCCCGACGAACAGCAACGCGCACACAGTAGCGACGGACTATCTGCCCAAGTCGAGGGCATGTGAGACTGTGTTTCTCAATGATGTCCATGAAGTCATCGCGGGAAAGGCACAGAACTTCTATGTAAGTCAATGCATAGAAGTCCACGCGGCGCACGAGAGCTCTGTCAGAGAGCACAAAGTCTTCGCCCCATACGCTGCCCTTATGCTCGAGCCTGTGTGACCGAAGCACGAGGCCCTTTGACAAGATGCTCAGCACACGGACATTGCTGACAAACTCCCCCTGCGCATAGGCCACACTCTTCAGTTCCCGCACAATGTCCGCAATACAGGCGCGATAGGGCGCAACAGAGACCCCTTGGGCTTGGAGTTCCTCCGTCTCTCGAACAAAACGATTGAAGAAGATCACACGCTCCAGCCAGGGGAAGTTCACCACCGTGGCAACTTCTGCCTTCAGCTGTGGGCTCATCGCATCCAGCAGCGACTGCTGCGTCAAATGTCTCGCCTGATCGCGGTTGTGCACGAAGAACTCGCGAACTCGCGACTTCAACTGATCTGGGAGGTGCTCTTCTTCCATCATCATGTTCAGATGGTGCATTCCTCGGGCTCGAGAAGTTTGATGCACAAACCCACAACCCACTGCGAGGGGGATGTCTCTACTATACATGAGTATGGAATTGAGGCTACGATTAGTTGGCAGGTGTGGGGTCTGCTAACGGCCCGGGACCTTTTCTTTGGGACTCACAACATTACATACTCAGATTGCTGAAATCCGTAGGGCGAGTCTCTGTGGCGGAACTCCTGACTTTCGGCGCTAATGTCTGCCACGATCGTACAGACTTGGCCAATGACGTAGGCCCAAAACAGACCTGAAAGCCTCAGAAGCGGAAGAAGGATCTGTCAGCCGACTGACACGCTTAGACTACGTTGCTAGATCTATATAGGCGAAACACATCAGCATCATGCAGCACATGATGCTTGGAACGAACATATGCAGAGCCCCGACCCCGAAGCGCAACGGTTGAGAGCAGGCGCATGACCATCACGGTGCACACGATGCGCTCCAAAATGTTCTGTGGACCGATATCGCCGTAACCCACTGATGTCATCGTGTAGCCTTGTGTTGGTTAAGCAATATATACTTCTTGTCCGTCTGGACTCCGGTAACTGGAGATTAGCGATTCGGGTTCTGATGGGTGTAGAACTGGCAGATCGGCGAGGTCTACAAGCACTGACTTGTCTGAAGACTTTCTTGATTCGAGTTGCTACTGTCTTGTCAAAAGCTTTCCGAAGGGCCAGGGCAGATTTCGAACACAGCCTAATCATCTGCAGAAGAACCTGCTTTTGATTCAGCGCTGGGCCCTTGCTGATGATTGTCTGTCTTGGGCCTTAACAGCTATCCGGCTATCATAGTATCCAAGGCACTGCAGAAATAAAATGCGGCGATATACGTACGCACCGCTCGGTCATCTTCGAAGAGACCTCATGTTGCCAGCATCCACATCTTTGTCCACACGTTTTGTCAAACTCCCTAAACCCTTTTTGCATCCAGGCCTCTTGAAGTCTTGCAGGGGAACGGAACCCTAAACCCCTAAACCCCAACCCCCTAAATTTAAACCCTAAATCCCTAACCCCTAAATGCTGCGGCACAAAAGAGCGAGGCAAGAGTCCGAAACTGGAATCCACTGTGGAAATGTCATCGATCCAGCGCGGGTATTTCTGCATCAGGACATGTTTTTCTCATGGTCCTATATTCAATTTTCCGAACCAATCAGAAGCACTATGTGCATGTGGACAAGCTGACAAGCTCTGCACTGGCCTCTTCGACGACCTTTAGCGTCATAGCCCACACGCATGCTAGCCAGTGGCACACGATCACCAAGAAGCCCAGGAAGCGGAAAAGAGCAAGCTGCTGTTGGTAAGGGATTGAGTACGGGATTTCGATCTTGTGAATTATCCTGACAAGAGGCAGCATATATAAGGCATAAAGTGGCATAAAGAAGTGCAACATCCAGCAAGGCGTCTCAAGTCGGAGTCACTGTATCAACATGCATGCATGGTTGCACGAGCAAGCATCACGCCAGATCTTGTCTGCAAAACCTGCTTCCTCTGTTTGCCGAGCCCCTGCTTGCGCAGTGTTCCTGTAGCGCTTGGGTCTCAGTAGTTGGGTCAGCCCTTCTCCGTTCCCCGTGCGCACACTGCAATGCAGAAGGGCTGCCAAATGCGACAGCTGTCTGGTCGTTGCTAAGCCTTCGCCTGTAAGTTATGAACTCGAATTACGTCCCCGGCCGTTTCGCTCCCCACAGCCCGTCCAGAGATGCAGCGATTCGACATGCAGGCCGCCAAGACCGAAGCAAATGCTGCAGATTTGCGGTGTGCCATGCGAACAATGCAAAGCAGCATGCTGCAGGATTGTGGGGCTGACAGGAGTTGAGGAAAAAGGTATGGCAACATGACACCCAAGCGGGAACCTCGATGGCTTCATCAATCGTAGCATCTTCAGCATCCACAAAACACGAATCACGCGTGCGCCGGCCGGAGTCTCGGTGTCGCTGTGAAGGACACCTGTCAAGTCACTCTAGCACGCCAGGGTCTATGGATGTGGTAAAGACTGAAACTGTATTGACTCTCGAGAAACTCTAGTACAGTTGTAGTGATCTTATAACTAGTGAGCACCACCACTACCACCACTGCCACCAAGCCCCACCCCCGCACCACCCGCCATCGCATCAACACCATCCCACCACCCCGAAGAACAAGAACAACAACCACAGCCATAACCTCCTCCACATAAACGGGCTGCGTGAGGTCAATTTAAGTACGGCCTTGCTCTCTGTGAAAACCCACTTGACCCCAGTCGCAGAATTTTATCAGATCGGGCGGCGCCTATCAAATCCCATGGAACGACGGCCAGGGCATCTATGAAGAACCAGGTCTTCAAGTACTTCAGGCCGACCCGGCTCAAGCGGACTTCCCGCTTCAAACCGTGGAAGGTGGACACCGAGATCATCACAAAGAACTGTAGGATTAGATCCACTAGGAAGATGAAGTCAACAAGAAGGCTAACGACCAGCATGGAGTCGAATCTGATGTCGAAGAGGCCGATTTGGAGTGGTGTCAGGAAGGCAACAAACGCCAAAGCGACACCCACTATCATCTGCCAGCCAGAAGCATACCACGAGCTCTCAGGATCGATAATGTACCATGGCTTGTCGTGGACGCCATGGACCATGGTGCCGTTGTCACTCCAGCTGGAAGCGAGCGAGTCCCCGGAGAAAGGCGACTTGTGAATGCTATGGGCGTCCACTTGCGGCTTCTCTTTCAGGTCCTGCCAGCTTGCAACAGGACGTATGACCACCCTTTCTATGCTAACTTGAGTATTTTGAGGCTTCATAGCTTTTGGCACTGTCGCGGGCGTTACACGTAAGACAGGTTCAGCTGTAGAGTTCAACCCGCTGCCTTGCTGAAGAGATCCTCCACTTTGGGGGTCGTCGAAACGACGCTCGTCACAGTCTTCTCTCTCGGATCTCTCTGGCCTGCATATGCTCACAGCCACAGGCAGGAAGTCATCGCTGCAGCATCAAATGCCGAGTGCTCTGCAAAGAGCTGAGGAAGCGGCATGGTAGATTCCTATAGCTCGGAATTCACAGGGCAGCCTTTGCCGTCGTAGGGACGTATGTCATCCCTGGGACCGTTCACTGAGCGCATGCTAGCTGAAAATATCGGAGCCGACTCTTCGGCTGACCACAGAAAGCCTTCATATGGGGTTGCTTGCGAAGTAAAACTATATTTACGTGGTGCGTGAAGACACCAATTACCCTCAGCCCCTTGATTTTTTCAGACACCCTCAGCTGTTGCTTGCAGGAGACGAGAGACCGACGCGACCACTATGATCCGACTGGACGAACAAGGGTCACAACCAACAGATGCATGCTGCGGAGTACTGCAGTGATGGCGCCCCCTGTTACGGCGAGAGTTCATCCCCCGAAAATATCAGACAAAACAATGAGCTGTTCAGCAAGTTCTGGCCTGTGAGTCGCGTGGACTTCTGGGTCACAAGAACGGACGAGACAGTGGTGGAAAGCCCTTGGACCACCTCGGAGGCTCGAAGATGGAACTGCGGGGCCTGGAAGGGCACCTCTACACCCTTTGTCTACTGTGCTTGCGGCTTCATTACTTATGATATGAACACACCTGTGTGTGCTGCAGGCTGCCGAAAACACACCGCATCCACCTCCGGTCGACTGTGTGCCCCGCATGTGGGCTCAAGCGACTGTCGTTCAGTCGTTGGTTCTCCTTCTCAAGATCACGAAGCCTCAGTTTGAGCTTGCCAATGTCTACTCCGCACCACTGCTGACATTTCAACAGCAGCATCAGCTGGCCAAAAGAGTGTGGACAGAGCGTAGACGTGTCCAGCTTGCGATTGCTGGCCCAAGCCTGTCAGAGCAAACGCAGCCACGGCGCTTCAATGATTGTTGTTCCAGCTCGCTTGTAAGCTCGGAAAGCAGCTCTCGCCAACGGCATGAAGCCATAGCAGCACGGCGCACAATGTGCCGTCAACACCAGGCTGCTCACTCTTGAGCCAGCTTCTGCTTCTCACCGGCTTTGAGCATCAATTGGCAACAGTTCGAGAATGATAGCTGACTTAAAAAGCCATTGCAACTACCATCTTTGTACTGACGGTAATATCTACCTGTATTGCCTTATTCATCGTCCTTGCCTGCTTGCGCGACTGCTGTCGCCACAAGTGCTGCTCAAGTGCATTCTTTTTGCAGAACTACTAGCTACAGTACGTACCTTGTTCTTCTCAGCATCGTGCTTGCTGCTTGCAGCCACTACCGTTGCCTCTTCTATTCCGCCTGAACTACTCTAGGCACGCCAAGGGGATGCAGAGACCTCTGGCCGCTTGTACCAAGCGTTCAGTCTCCGCTTTGGTCTTGATATTCGGGGTCTCACGCTGCTCCAGAGCCCATCGCACGCCTTTTCGCTTCAGCGTCTGCGAGCTGCAGGAGGCGATGACCGTTTGCCTATGTGTTGAATTCGCTGGATGGATCACACGGAGACCGAACGTCCGGAGGGTGTGCTTGACCATTGTCGCGGATAAACTGAAGTGGTCACTGCATCTAAAGCTTTCGGCGTAGATCGCCTTTACTAACTCTGTGTCCACATCCGAAGGCCAAGCCTTGATGAGACTTTGGCCGGACATTCTCCAGCACACGCGGTAGTATGTCGGTATGTGCACGTGCTCCATACCTGAGATCGATTGAGCTGGTGCTGAGCTACGAGCCATCACTGAGGTGTTCGTGCAATGAAATGCTCAAGATGGTTCACCCGACAACTGCAGGTTTAGCCACTTCCGTAACCTCGTCAGATTGACACTTGTGACAAGCTGCGCTCGCGAATTCGACAGCCACACCAGCAAGCATGATTCCCTGCGAGAAGCAAAGCACTCTCGGGAACTCGACGGGTTGGAACGCCCTGGGTTGGCTTCTACGAGCTGGCACAAGTCCGCCCGTTCTTTCGGTGCCGGATTCTGTACAAGGCAGCTGCCAGCCAGTGTTCGCCTGCACCGCAGCACCAGCACACTTGTCGTAGAGTCTGAGCCAAGATGCACAGCAGAATGCCAGCATAGCATGAGCGCTGTTTTGACCCAAACTGCGCGAGCGCAGCCATCACCTGGTGCTCTACCATCGGCCAGAGACTCTCCGGGAGGTACCTGTTCTGCACTGAACATAGCGAAAGTTTGCATCTCGAACAGGGCGCCTGGAATGGCTTTGCACGGATTGCGGCATCTGGCCTGTTGAAGCGGGGCAGCCTCGACCGCGAAATGGTCACCACCTGACTGTTTTATGTAGCAAAATGATCTTCCCATGTCTTGGCCTTGGCATTGTGTCTTAAGCTCCTTCTTGTACACCTTGTGCCTGCAAGTCAACATTAAGTCCCCGTGAACCATGGCCTGTGGGTTGAGCCGGTTGCTGCAAAACCGAGAATGCACAAGCTCACAGGAGGGCCCCAAAACGACCCATTACCGCAATCAAAAATGAAGTGATGCTGCAATGCACTTGGCAGCACTCTCGAAACACTTTCGAAGAAGTATCTGGCATCGCATGCTGCTTGTGTTCTTTGGTAGTCTTTCCACAGAAGCGATCCTACCCTACATGCTGCAGGAGCAGGCAAGATAATCACTTGTGCAGCTTTGACAAACATCTTGTCGACCAGTCTGTAACAATGTTTTCTGATATTGTGCATCTCGAAAGCAATTCCTGCGACACGTAGCCCCATGCGCGGACCCGGATCTAACCGAATCTACACCATCATGATACGTCTTGAGGGCGACCTTGCCTCAGGTGGCACTTGCGCGACATACCCCAGGATGTCGTGGAAGGCTTCCAGGTGTCGGACCGCTTCCGATCCTCACTTTGTCGAGTTTTGCAAATCGAGCTTCCCCACATGCATTCCTTGCCGCTAAGCAGCGGCTGACATGGTGCACCTTAGTGCCACCAGATCATTTCTGGGCTTCTCACAGCGTTAGCGTTCCAGATTGTGCAAAAAGGCTTCGACTTCGGCACTTAATACTTAATGAATCTTACTGGAACAAACTTATCAGGCATCTGATGGGAGATGGCAAGCGGGGCAACACACTCCAGGAATCGCCAGGATAATGAAAGTGTGTCCACTCTCGCCGCCACAACTTGAGAGAGCAACGGAAGTGACGCACGGTCGGACATCTGTGTTTCATGACACGGCATTTTACTCATCTGAGACAGTCCCATCAGGATTGGATATGCAAGATTTGCAAGAACGGTTTGGCAAGAGCGTTCGAAGTCATGATAGTCAGGTTTGTGCGCCTGTATGCTTTTTATACAATCAAGCAAATATGTACATATACATGTACACCTACATGTGCACATATATATATATATATACATATTATACAGAGAGGTTACACATAATGCATGCCGAAGCCACGCCCATCGCACCCTCCAGCATCGATTTGGCTAGGTCGTCGTCGAATCCCTCCTACCAGTAGCAACCGCATAATGATGTCGTCTGCGACTCGTGACTCATACTACGCCAGTAGCAAGGCTGCCTTCTTGTAATGTCACTTTTCTTGCCGCCCTGGCCCTAGCCAAACGACTTGCTTTGCGGCGACCCCGACCATTTGCTGCGTTAGCTGGGAAATCCACTACCTGCATGATAGACTTGAAACTTGCAGCCGTGCCTGCAAAGCTGTCTCAAATACCCAGCGCCAACGCTCACCTTCCTCCCAGCAGGCTGACGAGTCCGAAGGCTTGTTATGTCTGCACGCGAACGTTGCTGTTCGCAGGAAGGCAGTTACAGAGAGGCGTCAGTGTTCCCAAGTAGCACCGCAACAGATCAGCTGCCACACGCCTCGGTTGAGAGGTTCGCAAGCATCTCCGAGGCACCCGTGTCAACCTCACAATCCGCGAGTCCTGTGCAGCAGGGCAGTTGGGCAAGCACATGTGCTCTGCCAGCGCGACGGTGTGGATGTTCAGCCTTCGAGAAGCAACTGCCGCTGCTGATCGCCAGGAGCAGCCCCTGCCCAATGTTGAAACGGAATGCAAGTCGCTGAGCACGCTCTCGAAAGCATGGCGAGGCATGCTGATGGAAAGGGCTTGTCATCTGAATGCTTGTCGTCAAGTAACCTCAAAGGTCCCGGAAACGAAGCAGCCCCCACTTGGATGCCAAGCAGCGCAAAGCAGCCGGGAGCTGGCTGAGATTTTGAAGCAAGGCTGCGCGGTAGTCCTGCGTCGCAGAATCGCAGGTAGCAAAGTGGCAGACGCAGTGGATGGCAACGAAAACATCTGTCGGGGGTCTTCGGGCAGTCCAGTGCAATCAGCTGAATGAGCTCGAAGAACACTCTCTAGCTGTAGAGTCTCAGTTGACATGCATACATCACCGCGTATGAAGTGCGCCTCCACCTCCGCCACACGTGAAGAGAGACATCCACATCCGATCAACCTTGTGGGTTCCACGTGCGACGAATTCTTTGAAGATGACAGCCGATGATAGGGGTGTAGCGGCCAGGGTCGCGTTCGTAACATGCCATAACTCGCGGAATCTCAGAACTCAAGGCCCGGCCAAGGCACGATTCATTGTGGGACTGGGAGCAGGCCCGATTGGTGTTCAAGAGGTCTGCCGCCTTCTCCACGAAGCTTTGGCTAAAGTTGGCTTCTTGCATCAATCTCAAAGCAGGGTCGTAGGTAGAGAAGGTGTCCAAATCCAGGTCCAGAATCCAGGCACGCGATTTGTCGCTCTGCAGCACCGAACTTGCTGTCCATAAACCGTCTTGCAGCCTCTTGAGGACCTGCTAGGGCAAGGCGAGCAAGGTCGAAGGCTCAGGGTCTTCCTCAAAAGCCATGCGTCGAACTCGGGCAACTCGGGCTACCTGCTACCTTCTTCGACTGCCTGAAAGAGCGTCCCCACCGTCAGGGTAAAGTTGCGGTGGAGAAGCAACCTCAAGAGCTGAGTGCTGCCTCCAAAGCACATTGAACTGCGCGGGCTGAGGGCCGGTTGCCCAAACAACATATCCGCATGTGAAAAGAAAAGGCCTCACAAGGCCAGGCCAAGCCGCTCCCTCTCGGCCGCTCCCTCCTCCACCTCCGTGCAGGAATCAAAAGCCTGACGTCAAGCTGCCTTACAACCTGTCCTTCGCTTTTTTGGACGGAGTGTCTGAAGGGGTTGTGCCCCAAGGAAACACCCTCTCTCCTAGCGCGTGTGCCCCCCTGAAGCAAAATGATATGCCCTCGTTTCACATAAGCGCCATAGCCTGGGCTCCAGTTCTGCATCGCACATCGTGCATGAGCATCACAGACATGCACAGGCTAGGCTCCAACGTAGGGGGCTGCAAACAAACCGCTTCAGAATGATGAAGAAACCATGTTAAGTGAACCACCTCCCTTCGGAACGGCTCCCCTCAGCACTTCACGGCAACTGGCCCGACAACATGAGTTGCAGGCAATCCGGTGATCGGTGCAGTCGAACGCTGGTGCATCCTACAAACTGGGAGGGGTGCCTCATGCACCATGATCCCCGTCAACTCGGTGAGTGGGAAGACCTCCAGCACTTCTAACTGGCGTAGGCAGAGCTCCTCGAAGACGACTTCCTCACCGACAAAGAAGCACATTGTCATCGTGACTTGTCGTTGTGGTTGTTGAAGTAACAGAAGCAGCCGAAGCTTCGCTTTAGCACTGCTAGTATGCAACAACAGCGCTGCAAGGAACAAAATGCCTTAGAGGCTCCCCCTCGGAGGTCCACAGGTTCCATTCCACCTGCGCCTGCAGGATCAGGCACAAAGAAGCCCTCGCCGGAGTCTAAAGAGTCCAGGCAGTCTTGAGGGTTCGTCTTCCAGGAGTGTCAGTCCTACCTAGGATTCAGGCCTTGTATCGTCCAGGTGGTGGGCCGTTGTACCTTCCCATCCCAGGCAAATCTGACCGGATCCAGATAATTCGATCCAGCAAGCCCAGCCATAGGGCCGCCGTAATGAAGTCGGATACGAAAACCTCCACAGGCTTTGGCCACTGAGACTGCATCATGGGCCTTTCGCACCTAGCCTGGCTTCCTAAGTCAGCTTTCTCTGTCTCGTTATAGGCGCGCCTTGTCCGCTGCGGCCTTCTGCCACTGTTTACGATGCATTCTGGCACAATGCGCATCGCCTGGGATGCTTGCGGACCGATGAAGCTAGTCGAGACTCGGAATTGAGAATATTAAGATAGCTGGTGTCAGGGTGCAGTCCTCTATATCCTCGAGGAAATCAGCCCATATGTTTGTCTCCAAAGGCGCCATGTCGCTGTGAGAGTCGATATGGACAAGAGTTACCTGGTACAGGGCTGCGTTCATCTGATCTGATCGCTACATGTCACCACCACCTCATAAAGACGTCGTCGTCGTCGTCGTCGTCGTGAGAATCAAAATCGCGCTACTTTATATCAACATTGTCGTCATCACGATGACCAACAGTAACATCATCAGTGTCATCATCGCCATGAACATGCATGCAATCACTATCACCGCGGCGCGACCGTCGTCGTCGTCGGGGTCGGCATCGTCGCTTCATCCTTTCGAGATCACTGGGAAACAGCGACTGCATCGGTCAGGGCACCGGCTCGGACCAAGAGCCCATGTTCGGCTTAGCCGCGCTTTCTGTGGGCCAGTGGCGGAGGACCTCTCCGTGAGCTTCCACGATGTGGATACGTGCCCAGGGTGCATAGGGTGCCCAGCTTCGCCTCACATCCGGAAGTGGAAGAACGGACCATGGATCCATCGACAGTTCTGGAGTGGCCAACGCCAGGAAGGCCGCGGCAACGCCCCACGCGGCGGCCCATTTCCATCCAAAAGAGCAATGGCCTCCCACCTCCTCAGGCATCTGCGCGGAGGTCGCAAGCCACATTCAAATGGAAGCTGGGGGCCCATGTGGAGTTTCAGTGGATGGCACACCATGCAATGCAGCCTCATCGCAGCTAAAGGAGCAGAGACGTTCCGCTGCCGTTTTTCCGTCACAGCCGTCTGCTCCACTCAGGAATATGGACACATAATTCAAATGCTAGTTCTGCAAACTGATGCAGATGTAAATGGCACTGGCTCGTCCATGTCTACAGAATTCTAGGAACAGTTGTGCTTCTGGACGGGCTGATTACCCGAATCATCCTCAACCCCCCTGGCATGCCTGGCAACAGGCACGTCGATCTTTGCTGAGAGAAAAGGGAAACGTTAAGACGCATGCACATGATGCCGTGCAGCCAAGGATGGGTACCGCGAATCGACGTTCACTTGCCACGCCCTTCTAATTCGTCGAAGCCGATAGGGACAGTTATCCTGCCCTCAAGGCTTCCAGAAGGCAACAACGAAGACAAATGCATATGTACATGTACACAATATGCACATTAGTGCATGGTTTCGATGACGAAAGTACCACCCCGCTCCAATCCTGACTCAGGCGAATGCAGTGATCGGTCAGCCTGGGACAGCTAGCAAACCAGTCTTGCCCCCAGTCATCCAAATTCCGCAGGCCGACGGCAAACCATTTGCTTACTTCCCTTCTTGCTGCGGCCCTCATGGAAACAGAAGTCCAAGCGAACTAATCAGGAATGCTCGCTTCGGCGGGGCCCGGAACAAACGACATCGCAATGTCGCCATGCCAAGTAGCTAACACGCACGGAGCCATCCTTCTGAGATTCGTGTTGCAGGTGATTGAAGTGCTGATGCCAGGGGCACCTGGCAGGTACCAGCCTTAGCACGGGAAACAACCGCTGAACTTCCATTTGTATCCAAAGCCAGAGTGTGCTACAAGACAAGACAAACCAAGACTGAAAGCATACTGAAGTCTGTCTGACATGGCTACGAGAGCATTCGCTGTGGTTTTTTGCAGTGGCGACAATGGTGATGCAAATCACAGCGCGAAAAGGCAAAAAGGAGGTAACCGCCGCCACCACAGCTGCCACCACCCGCACCAACCACTCCCCTCGACCCAGACACCCCACACCCACCCACCCACCCACCCCCCCACCCCCCAAACCCCAGACCCCCAGACCCCCAGACCCCCACACCCCCACACGCCCACACACCCACACACCCACACACCCCCAGAAAGCCACACCCCCACACCCACACACACCCACAAACACACAGAGACACACACAGAGAGACACACAGAGACACACAGAGACACACCCACACACACACACAGAGACACACACAGAGACACACACAGAGACACACACACACAGACACACACACACACACACACAGAGACACACAGACAGACACACACACACACACACCCACACACCCACACACCCACACCCCCAGAAAGCCACACCCCCACACCCACACACACCCACACACACACAGACACACAGAGACACACAGAGACACACACAGAGACACACACAGAGACACACACACACAGAGACACACACACACAGACACACACAGACACACACACACACACAGACACACACACACACAAAGACACAGACAGACAGACAGACAGACAGACAGACACACAGACAGACAGACACACAGACAGAGACAGACACACAGACAGAGACAGACACACAGACAGAGACAGACACACAGACAGAGACAGACACACACACACACACAGAGACACACACACAGACACACAGACACACACAGAGACACACAGACACACACAGAGACACACAGACACACACAGAGACACACAGAGACACACAAACACACACACAGAGACACACACACACAGACACACACAGAGACACACAGACACACACAGAGACACACACACACAGAGAGACACACACACACACACACACACACACAGAGACACACACACACACACACACACACACACACACACACAGACACACACACACACACACACACACAGAGACACACACACACACAGACACACACACACCACACACACAGACAGACACACACACACACACAGACACACACACACAGACAGACACACACACACACACAGACACACACACACACACACACACACACACACACACACACACACAGACACACACACACACACACACACACACACACACACACACACACACACACACACACACACACACACACACACACACACACACACACACACACACACACACACACACACACACACACACACACACACACACACACACACCCACACGCACACGCACACGCACACGCACACTTGGATGGGCCGGGGGTTTGCTAACTGATGCATTGACTAAGCAAGTATTTATAACTTACTTGTAAGTCATATCTAACACATATGTAAGTAGTTATAAGAAAGCTAAAAGTTTAGAAGCGATAGGTGGTTTATACTAACGGTTACTAACGATGCTAATGTTCGTATTCAACATAAGCCGGTTGATGGGGTTTAGCCTTAAACAAGATAAGGGATTAAGCTAAGAGGGCTAATCCAGATAAGACAGTTAAGCTAAACGGGCTAACCTGATTTAACATGCAGAAAAATCGAAAGCAGTTTCATTGTTTACCATCCAATGTTAGGAAATCGAAAGTTTCACGAATCCATTTTGGCATCGGCCGGAAAGGCTTCAGGCTAAGAAACAACTTTTGCCTGCAAGGGTCGATATATGCAATGCATACAAAACGGGTTAAAGGCTGCATGGGTTTTGCATGATGGAATTTGCATGGCATGGCATGCTTGGACTTGTGTGGTTGCATGGGAGTGCATGCTTGGATTGCATGATTGCATGGGCATGCATGGCATGCTTGGACTTGCATGATTGCATGGATGCTTGCAAGAGTTGCATGGTTGCATGCTTGTATACTTGTATGATTGCATGGCATGCATGCTTGGAATCATACGGTTGCATGGCGATGCATGCTTGGATTTGCATGGGTGCATGGCACGGCATGCTTGGACTAGCATGATTGCATGGATGCTTGGAGATGCATGGAAGCATGGTTGCATGCTTGGACTTGTCTGATTGCATGGGAGTGCATGCTTGGAGTTGCATGGTTTCATGGCATGGCTTGTCTTGACTTGTATGATTGCATGGATGCTTGGAGTTGCATGGTTGGTGGCATGCATGGCATGGTTAATGCATGGATGCTTGGAGTTGCATGGTTGGTGGCATGCATGGCATGGCTAATGCATGGATGCTTCCATGGAGTTGCATGGTTGGTGGCATGCATGGCATGGCTAATGCAAGGATGCTTGGAGTTGCACGGCTGGTGGCATGCACAGCATGGCTGGATGTGCATGATTGTATCGTTTGTTGTGTTCCTGTTTATCTCGGCTTTTGCTGCCAAGCCTTTTGTTTGTCGTGCTGTCGCCCTCCCTGTTTCCCGTTTTTGCCTTTGGATCCAAAGATATGGCATTGACGGACGAGATGAAGGTTGAGATCGGTCGTATCCTTGACTCCGAGGAAGGTGTGAATGTTCGCATCCAGAAGTTGTTCAAGCTGTTCCTGGACAGCGGCTTGGCCCGGCACGAGACAGTGCCGCCGAGTGCCGTGCTGGTCCACCCCAGTAACAGGGGAGGGTCTATGATCAACGGCCACGATGTGGTCGCGAAGGGGGAGCTGCTGACCAAGCAGGGTGTGAGATTGGACCTGTTGGAAGCCAGCAGTGTCGCCTTTACTTTGTCCAAACACCCAGACAAGCGAAATGCCCAGGTGGCTGCCAATCAGGCTCTTGCGAGCAGCAACCCAGACCTGCTTGCTCCGCCAAGTGGCGGAGAAAGGTATCTTTCTGTAGGCTCCAGTCACTCTACAGCCTACATGCGAGCACTGCTCGCAGGCATCATCCCCGAGAGCACAGTCACGAAGCAGGAGGGGCCAGCGAAGACCTGCCTCCACACAGGGTGGAGATGGCTGATCCTAGAGGATCTCCTGGAGGAGGAGTTCCCCAGCTTGCCAATGATGATAGCCTCGGGTTTGAATTCCTCCAACCAGGTGCTTGTCAACCAAAGCGAGGTCGAAGTGCTCATGACCATGGGTCGCTATGTTTCCTTGCATGGCATGACGGTGCAGCAGGCAAAGATGAGATGCCTCGAGACCGAGCCTGCATGCAAGGATTATATCGATGTTTTGGCTCACTTCGCAGCCCGCTACGGTGGAGGCATTGGATTTCCTCTCCTTGAGTTTCTGGGTCATTTCTCAAAGGTGCATGGCGCCAGCTTGGTCCTTGGATCCGAATTTATCCGAGCCGTCACAAATTTTGATTTCAAAGTCGAAGGGAACTTGCTTCCCTGTCTGCGGATCGCACTTCTTGCGGCTCAAATCAGCAGCCCTGTGTCTGCTGATAAGGTTGCCAAGCTCTTGAGCAAAACGGATGTCGAAAAACTCCGGGCTCTCAAAGACAAGGGTCCGCTGGTGGAGGCGGAAACTCTCCTCAAGGGCTGTTGGGAGACGGTGCAAGCCGCGACGAATGTTCAAGAAAAGCGAAAGATGCAAGCCTATGGCCGATGCTCGGTCAGGGTGGCACTGTTTCTGTGCCAGAAGGAAAAACAAGGACGGGAGGGAACGGAACACGAGTCCCTGACCACCATTTCCCAAGCTTTCGGCATGGAACTCTTGGGCATGACTGCACCCCCGGCCTCATCATCCACAGATTCGACTGCCGTGGAAAACTTGTTGGATGCAAGCCGCACAGATGTGATTCTCAAGCAACACAAGCACCTCGAAGTCGGAGGAAGTTATGTCCACAAGAACCACGGCTCCCAAATCTTCACCATGCTAGGTGTGCAGAATGGCCAAGTCCAGTTTCAGCATGTTCCCTTGGTGGGGGCCCCCGTGATCGTGGAGGTGCCTGCCTCTGCTGAGTTGGCGAATTGGAAGAGGACGAAGAAAGTCCAAGCGACAGTGCTCGATGCTGAGATAGCCAAGCAGTACTTTGTGTCGGCTAGCACAATTCAAGCTGAGGCATTTGAGCTGGGGCAGGCTCAGCTAGAGTTGTATCGAGAGTTTAGCGGCAAGCACGATGGCAAAGTCGGGTCCGGGCTTGGTGGTCACGGCCCCCATCCCCAAGAAGTCCCTTGTCCTTGTTGCTTTTGGGCAGCTGAGCATTGTGAAGGATCCTAGCAAAGTGAAGGACGGATGTTGGGTTGGCAAGTACTTGCTGCAGCCCTCCAGACCAGTGTCGGACTTCGAGAAATTGGACGAGAAGACATTGCTCGTGCCATATTGGTATGTGCGGACGACGAACGAGCTTGCTCAGGTCAATATGACCAAAGTTCAGCAGCAGCTCGGTACCTTGACGGTGCCGAGCTTCCTGAATAAACGGGATCTCGCAGTAGGGGAGCTGTTGTACACCGCTAGTGACTCATTGATCCAGAAGGAGCAAGCACCGGCTCCTGTATCCAGTAGTCCTGTAAAGCGGCTGCGAACGAAGGGTCCAGCCAACATCTGGGCTCCAAGCAGAGTTGCCACCCGATCTCAAGGGAAGGATTTTTGAGCAGCCATCCGATTTTGCAAGGAGGTAGAAACACACTCGAGATGTCACGACGACCGCTCTCTCGCACAGCCAGGGTTTAAAAACAGCTTGCATGCAGTCAGAACACAGCTGGAGATGTTTTGAATGATTCCGCCTCTTCATGAGCTTGAAGCTTTGTGTGATGCATCATGTGCATGCTCAAGGTGTCTGTTAAGTTGTGGCATCCTTGTTGCTTGTACTCGCCGGTAGCCACCGTGATGGAATCCATGGACGTTGAAGTGGCATCTGTTTTGCAGATCAAAACAAAGAACCATCTGCAGGGCCTGGTGGTACCTTCAGATTTGCTGATTGAGCATGAAGAGAAGAAGTATTTGAAGTTGAATGGTAGTCATTGGTGGTTGTGCAAGCTGCTTTGCCCAGAAGTTTACAAAACACAGAAGAATGTCAGCCTCGCCAACACAAGTGCCATGAAAGAGGTGTGTCAGGCTGTTCTTGCAGGCTTCCTGAAAAAGGAAGAGGGGGATGAAGGTGAAGAACTTTTCGACAAGAAGCCGGACGACAAGAAAAGCCTGAAAAGGAAACGTGATAGCTCGGGCCCCCGAGTTAAGAGCATCACGTTGCCGAACGAGGTGGTTGCAGAGTTTTACCTCGAGAACCACCAGAGTTCGTGCCCGGCAGTGTCGGCGGAGCCGGAGTCTCTCGAAGCAGTGCTCGGCTACTTGAAGGCTGGCTGTGAGGATTGCGCCAATGCCGCGACCAGAGCCTACCAGAAGACCGGCAAGTACCGCAAGAAGTGAAGACGTAGGTCGCGAGCTGGCGAAAGGCCACAAAACATGCATCGGCGCTTTTGGCAGACTCCTTGTCGTTGTTGGTTAAATGTTTTCGCTTTGAGTTCTGGAATTGCATGGTTGTGCTTGCATGTTTGCTCCAAGCTTGCTGGTTGCAGCTGCATGATTGCATGTTCGGTGGCATGCCCTGGCCATGCATGCATGTTTGCTTGAAGATCGCTGCTTGCAGTTGCATGTTTGCATATTCGGTGGCATGCTTTGACCGTGCATGGATGTTTGCTGCAAGCTTGCTGCTTTGGTTCAGGGTCTAGGGTCTAGGGGTTCAGGGTTTGTAGGGTCTAGGGTCTAGGTTCGAGGGTTAATAAGGGTTGAGGGTTGGAGCATGCCGGTTGCAGTTGCACGACTGCATGTTAGGCGGCGGCATGCTTGGTTGCAGATGGCTTGAAACATGCATGCTGGCAACAACCTGCATGATTGCTTGCAGGCTTGCATGAACTTGAAATTGCTTCTTGCATGCAACCATGCATGCTTGGTGGCATGTTTGCTTGGCATGCTTGCGAACCTGCATGGCATGTCTGTGTAGACCGCATGACAGACATGCAAGCATGACCTGTGTGCAATTTGCAAATCTGAGGAATCAGTGCCGCATCTTGCATGGACCCTGGCGACACACAGGCCAGTATGTCAATGCCTTTCCAGTGCTGAAGAAGGAGTGGCACCCGGACGAGACCGACCCGGTCGAAATGTACATGTTCTTTATCAGCAACGGCTTCTGGGTGGCAGCCAACCAGGTGGTGGAAAACGACAGCCAACCCGGAGCCTGGCAAGATGTGGAGGTGCTGGCCAGTTTGGTGGACAAGGATGGGTTGCCACAAGGCACCTGCTACTGTCCTTGGCAGGGAGAGACCCTGACCTTGTGGAGCCAGGGCATGTGCCAGCTATCCGTGGAAGTTTTCCAGGTTTTCGGGCAGTCGGCATGGGCCAACGAGAGCTCTTACCTGGGGCAGATTGCCCGCCTCGAGAAGAAGAATGTGCAGCAGGAGCTGCAGATCCATGACCTGCTTCTGCAGGCACGTGGACGAGTTGCAAGTGCTGCATGCCCTTGCATGTTCTCTTGCATGCATGCATGCATGTATGCGGTTGCTGTGTTGGAGGTGGCAGACCTCCAGGCACAGCTGCGAGCTGCAGAGGACCGGCAGTTGCAAGCAAGCGGCATGCATGGTTGGTTCATGTTGACAAGCCTGGCTGCATGGAGTTGTGTCAGCATGTTTGTGCTTGTTTGTTTGACAGGATGGCCGTGCAGGTCCGAGCGGGGCGACACCTGAAGCAAGGTCAGTGAATGCAGCGGCAGACCCCTTTCAGGCTTTGGGTGTCAACCGCCCTCCTCCGATCGGGCCACAGCCCAGTTTTGAGTCGCTGGGCATCACTCGCCCTCCGCCTCCGAGGCCTTAGAGAAGAGAGCATCCTCGGGAAGATGGCCGGAAAAAACGGAGGTTTTTATGTTGGGCGACAGAAGAGTAGCCTTTCTCGTGCCTCAGTGGGTCTTCGCTTGCATCCAGCTTGAAATGTGACAGCATCCACGGGCAGCTTGAAAGGCTCGTGCAGCAAGACGGTGCATGCCGGCATGCAAGAGCACATGCATGATGCAAGCAAGCAAAGCGGGCACAGGAGGCAAGCAGCAGGGACATGCATGGCAAGGCAGCAACATGCATTGCATGGTTGCTCATGAGCTACTAGAAGCTTTTCAGCTTTGCCTTCGCTCGCCATGGTATTTGGCACCACTGTGGGGCCTGGCACCACTGCAGTGCCAGTAATGGTTACTGGCACTGCTGGAACAGAAGGCGGGCCTCCTGTTCAAGTTGTTCCAGCAGAGACATAGAAGGACATGTGTGTGTGTGTGTGTGTGTGCAACTAAACAGACATGCATGTATGACAGGACTTCCGGATGTCTCCATGGACGAGTGGACTCGACTTCGAGAGGCCGTCAAAGCAGTCCATGTCAACCCGAAACTCACTCACTCACTCACGCACGTAAACGGGTCCGAAGTCCAGAACGCAGGCATGCAAATCCCCAAAAATGCAGCTGCTGTAGCTACACAGGGCAATAGACTCAACAAAATTCAAACAAAGAAACGAGGGAGCGAGGGAACCAAGCTGCGACCTCAAAGCAAGGCGGAGGGCGATCTATAGATCGCAGAAGGCCTGAACGTGAGCTCAACAGTGGGATTGCGAGAATCCAAACCGGCGCTCAAACAATGCAGAGCCTTACTATACAAGGATTCGTGGAAAGCACAAAAGAAACTGCCCGTACAAGTGTTCACTTGGTGAAACTTGGCAGCAGGCATGAGTTCTCTCCATAGACGAATCCCTTGAGAAGAGAGAGTTTGGGGGAAAAAGATTCCCGCTCCTCTGTTGACATGCTGACACAACATTCTAAATGTTACTGTAGCTTCGAGTAACCGCCATAAGCGTCTCGGGGGTTCGCGACTGACAGGGTCCTCGGCCGCATCCAGACATTGGCGCAGCGGTGCGAACCCTCGTCTAGCCTTCCAGCACCAGGGGTCAGACCGTTGTAAAGTGGCCCATAAGCCCCAAAAGCAGTTCCACGCCACAGGGAGTCGCCAGACAACCTTCCGATGGAGCATACCCCGCCAAAGCGGAGAGGGAACCGACCAGTCTGGACGGCCTTCAAGGCCTTGGGAAACGCCAGAGAAGGAATCAGAGGGTACGTTGCACACATGGTCGCCGTCCTCAATGGCAAACCAGTGAAGAGTCCCTTCCAGTTGACTGACGACCGGCGTTAGAGCTGGAGCACCCGGCCCGCGAGCTGAGACATCCGTAGTGTCCGCCGGCAGAACATCCGCAAGTGGTGCCGGATCTTCCGGCCACGAATAGAGCTCATGTGTTCCCACTATCGCCTGTCGCTCTTGACACAGGTCATCTTCCGTGCATGGGATCTCGGCCAGGGAAGCTGCTCTCTGAGCCGGTGTGGCATTAATAGGCCCAGGGAGGCGCGTAGCAGGTAAGCCTCGGTGGCCCCTGGCACCAGATCGCTTCGTCCCTGTCCCATAGACGTAGGCTTGCCCGACAGTGACACGAAGTCCGTGCATGCACGCTGGAGTCACCTTCAAGTGATATTTTAACCTGTCGGTCGAGTGGTGGTCGCAATGACACCATAGGCAAACTGTCCCATTCGTATACCGAGTCAGGCTATTGACAACGGAATGCTTGCGGTGGACATGCGCGGCAAGGGCATGCAGGCTGGGGAAGCTGAGGCCGCAAAGTCCACAAACTCTGGGCTGCGGCACGCCAAGAACCTGAACGACCTTGGGAACCACGACATCCCGCCACAGTGCATGAAGCGCTCGATACGCTGAACCATACCGGCTGAGGTGCCTACAGACACTCTGGAGTTTGACGGCATGCTGGGCGATGTACTGGCGAGTGACATGCGTCGGGGATAGGTGGCCAACCAGCCCAGATGCGACTTGTTGGCACGCGTCAACAAGAAGGGAGCACCATGGCGTAGCCCTATCCCAGGCTGCTGCAAAAAGCTCACCCACTCGTGGCGGGGCGCGTGTAACTAACTGAACCACCAGCCGGGTTCTGGCGATGGCACACGCGTCACCAGGGGACGATAACCCCATGAGCAGAACCAACAAGGGATTGGTCAACACATGTCCAAATTTCCATGAGCCAATCAATTGTCTCGCCGCCCTTTCCAAGAAACCGGTAAGTGGGCTGACTGCCCGTTCAGAGACGGCAAGCGACGTGCAGAGGGTAGCATAGGCCGCTGGGAGCACCCGGCCGGCAAGCCACGCTTGCTTAAGTCGCCACGGCAGTGACTGGCAGGCTAGCAGACTCTTCGCATGAGACCATGCGGAGTGGCCTCGTTGTGCTGCCAATTCCATATCCCGCCGGCCATTATCCCTGGGAGTTTGAACCACCCCGAGATACCGGTATTCCGGGGCTAACCGGACAGCATGACCGGAAGGCAAACGTAGTAGAGAAGGCGGAGCCAGTAGCTCGCCACGGACTATTTTAGCCTCCGGACCTCGTACATCGACCAGGATCTCGGTCTTCCCAGCAGCCAGGTTGACTCGGAAGCGCAGAACCTCGAGGGTCGCAAGCACGATGGTAGCGAGCCGAGGCAGTTGGCAAAGGAGTTGGCGAGGCGAGTCAAAATCCGCTAAAATGGCAAGATCGTCTGCCCAGCCTAATGGAAGCACCTCATCAGAAGCTCCGACAAAACTGCCTGCTGCCTGAAGAGAGATGCCTTCCTGGAGGCACGTTGCCTGAATATGCCGGAGTGCGACAGAGAACAACGCTCCGAAAAGAATGTCTGCTAACCCATCCCCTGGTCGGGAGCCTCGAGTTGCGATGAAGGAAGAGGCGGAGCCAGCCAAGCTCCATCTGGAGAAAGCTACACAGTCCTGTAGTAACTCGCGCTCCTCCCTAACCATCCCTATCTGCTCTAACGCCCCTTTAGAGAGAAGACCGTCAACTAGTTGGGTAAGATGTCGGAGGTCGGGGCGACTAGCATCTTCACTGGGTGTGAGGGCAGCATCACCACAGAAGATAAGCTGACGACTCACTTCATAATATGCAGCCTGAATATCAACAAACAGCACCGCAGTACTGCGCTGCAGTTGGGTGCTCAGGTCAATGGCTGCCCTGTAGGCCGCTACAGCAAAACTCACTGGCACGCCCGGTTTCCCTCCAAGCTGGGTGTCAGCATAACCCTGCAGCACGTTCTTGCCGATTGTCCGCCGGAGGTGGCTGTGCCAAATTTTTGCTACCCCATTGAGAAGGGCAATAGCGCGATAGTTGGCCGGGATGGCGGCCGGGCCTTTTTTGTAAAGTGCAAAGTATAGTGCTTCTTTGAACCCAAACGGTTCATGGCCACTCAACGCTATCTTTGTGTTAACCGCCCAGACCCAGCGTCCCGCCTGAGCCGGGAAGTGGTGCCATATTGCATTAGGTACCCCATCGGGTCCTGGGGCCTTATTGGGCGCTTGACGGCGGCAGCTGTCCTCCGCCTGAAGGAGGGAAGGGACCGCCTGTGTGCAGGGGAGGGCATCCCTGCGCAGCCAGGACCTGGTTGCGGCACCAACCTGTGCAGCGTCCGTGCGAATTCCGGCCTCTTGGAGCCGAAATTGTTCTTCGAGAGCCTCGTCTATGTCGTAACCTCCAGCCGCATAAACCTGCCTGCGTTCAGCAGCTCTCCTAGCAGCCCATTTGAGGTGATTGATGGACTCCATGGGACGACCATGGGCGTGCCAATGCTGAAGGGCTGCAGTGGTCAATGCCAGGAAGTGCGCCTGTTTATCCTTCCTGGCCAACCCATGAACATAATCCTGGGCCTTAGCTTCTTGAAAAGCAAGGGCCGCCGTATAGTGGCGAGCCATGCGCAGATCGGCCAAATGCTGGAGGCGGATCGACCGAGGGCGTCGGCGCCAACGGGCTATCGCCCAGCGGCATGTATGCTGCCGATGCAGTTTCCGGGAATGCCGAAGCTGACACCGCCAGTCGCGGAGCTGATACAAGCAACGCACGGTCTCAGGGGCCAAGTACGGCTGACGGACCTTAAGGACCCTGGAACTAGCGTGTTGCTGTGCAAACTTCCGATAGGCATCTTGCAAGGTGAACACCGCTTCACCACTGCTGATGGCCGTCTCATGGGGAGATGGGAGTTGCTCCCAAAAGTGTCGCCCTAACTCTTCAACAAAAGGCCCTCCCAGCACCGCCCGACGACGAGCTGTGCGCCCCACAGGGCTTGGCCGAAACAGGGTAGAGCGAGACCTTAGAGCAACATGATCCCTGTAGGAATTGACTATGTCGAAATCCCAGGCTTGGGCAGTGCTATGGTGCTGCCAATCCCCCGTACTGAAAAGCAAATGATCCAAACGCTTGCGTTTACCGCCCGTATGTTCCCAGGACCACCCCTGTCCGTCTTGGTATTCCGGGAAAGTAGCGGGGGAGTCTAACCCGTTAACAGTGACGAACTCAAAAAGGAACTCATCGTTGGAGGTTGGCGGGTGTGCAGCAATGAGTGAGCCAATACATTGCTCTTCCACGTCCTGAGCGCAGAAATCAGCATTGGCATCGATGCCGAGAAGTCGGGGGCGAAGTCGAGGCGCTTGGTGCAGTGCTTGGTGCAACTCGCTCCAAAAGCCTTTAGCCTCATGCAGGGGGCGATCCTGATGGGGTGCGTGAGCAGAGAAAATGGTGAGAGGAAGCCTCTCATCAACGCAGGTGATGACAAGAAGACGCGGCGTTGCCTTCAAGATCTTGCACGAGGCCAAGGAGAGTGGTGGACTAACTATGTCAGGTCGAACCCAAATTTCGCAACCATACTGGCCACGATCAGCGCCGGAGCGCCAGGAGAGCCATCCGCCGGTAGCCCACCGACCCGCGGGTGCCCGGGTCTCCTGAAGACACACTATGTCTGCGTGCATATCGAGCAGTTGCCTATAAAGGTACTGGCGACGGGCACCGTGACCAGAGGGGTTGAAAACACTCTGACGCGGGTCTTTGATAGACTGTATATTGGCAGTAAGAAGGTGTAGGGGCCCGAGAGGCCGGTTGGCGGCGCACGTGCTTGCCTGCTTTTTATCCTCACTGGGGACTGGTGGCAGCCAGTCAGTCTGCCCCGTAGTAATTGAGAAAACCCCTCTCCCTTCGCGAAGCCGACTCTGGGGTATAACCCATAGCCATGGGAAATGGTCAAAGTCCAAGTCCGCCTGGAGACGAAAGTGCGGGTGTGAGACCCAGAGGTCGCAATCACCGGTGACAGCCACGCCAGCGACTGCATCCGCGAGTGTGTTGACAAGGACTCCGACATGGCTGTGGACATGGCGGAAGTGCGTAGTGACGCGCGCCTGCACTACCTGCCAGGCTAGGCGGGTTCTTTGTGCAGGCGCGGTCGCCGCTGATGCTTGTCCTGCCGCTACCTGGAGGGCAGAGGAATTATCCACCACTATAGTGATTTGTGTAGGCCTGTGCCGCATGCGTAGTTGCCAAAGATCGAGCATGGCGGCACACCAGTGGCCTGCTGCTTGCAAAGCCGCCAATTCACTATGGAAAGAGCGCAGCCCAGGGTGCGTGCTGCGGGACTCGCCAGGCAACCAAGGGGTAACTGGTAGTGTAGCTGCGGCCCAGCCGAGACGAAACCACTTATGACGAAACAGACCCCAGACGAGAAAGGCCCAGGCCCCCGGGCCTTCGCCACTGCCATCTGTGGCAATGAGAAGGCTATCTGGCGGCCCGCCTTCCCATGCCGGATACGCTTGCCAAGCAGTATGGTAGGCGGAAGAGAGACAGCCGGGTAACAAGTCTCCTAAGCCTTGAGACCACCAACCTTGGTGCAGCTGTGCCTGAAGCTGGCACGTCGGCTCGACATCCAGTTCCCAGGTCCCTTTGGAGACCTCATGCCATTGCAGAGGGGCCCCCCAAGCAGCGAGGTAGCACGCCAGGATGCAAAGGAGCCCAGTGGCCTCCCTGCCATTCAGAGAGCGGCCTCGCCACCACAGGACAGCCAGGAGGCCACAACACACAAGTGAGGGCAAGCCACCGGGGTTAGAGCGGGCCGAGTTGCTTGTAGCAGTCGGCAGGCCAGACTCGCGAGGAACCTGGCTTCCTGAAAGTGGGGATGCGGCGGTCATGGTAGACGTGGGAGACATATGGATGATGTCGGCCGAGTCCCAGACTTGATCCCAGGGCCACCAGCCCTCCGGCTCCCCGGACATAGCCGGTAACAAAGCCCCTCGCGCGGGGTGCCACTGTTGACCCGACTGTGCCCGCAGAATCCTATGTATTGTATCAGCCCGCCGCCACAGGATGATCCAGCCCCCACCAGCAATCTCGAGGCGATCACTCCAGAAGCCGTAGCGGACGGCGCTGCGGAGGGAGGAGAAGGTACGGTAGAATGGGAAAGCGAGTGACGGTGCCCAGCCATCCTGAATAATGCGCAAGCAGCTGCCATCCTGGAGGTGAATAGGTGGGGAAGCCGGTCCCACCACCGACAATTCGGGCGCATTGCCCTGGAATCTGCGAACACTCCCAAACAGCGGCTGAAGGAGCTGGCGTAAAGCCGGGGCGGTTAGTGGGGTTGGCACTAGCAGTGCGCGCGGCGCTGGTGCACCGACTATCACAATTGTGGCCCACCCTCTAATACCCAGCCCCGGAACCCAATGGCTGTCAATAGAAAGCGGCGCTGGCCGAACCGGGGCGAGGGTAACATCAAGAGAATTCCAGCCTGTTGCATAGAGTGCTGTGGCTGCGTCCAGAAAGGGCCCCAGCCTCCCATGCGCAGGACACCAGAGGCAGTGTCGTGGCTGCCCGGTATCTCGAGGGGGAGCTTCCCTCATCGCCTGTGCCGAGTAAGCGTCAGCGAAAAGCAACAGGAAAGCCAGATAGCCTCTCCAACCGAGTGCCCTGGACAGAACAACTCCCCAGAACAACACAGAGGGCCAGCGAGAGACCGGGACCGCAGCTGAAACCTCGGTGTCCGGAAAGTGTACTATATCCCCGTTACGGAGTTCAGCCCATGGTTTGTCTTGGGGTTGCCCCAGTAGATAGCATGGATCCGTATCTCTATCAAGAAGGATCTGGCAGGTAGCCGCGTTAGCAAGCGCGTGAACAGTATGGCACGTGCCCAGAAGGCGATCGCCCCTAAGGGTCTCAATAATAATGTTGCGAAGGTCTCCATCTGACGCCCGAAGACAAAGGTGTGGCACATCATCGTACGCCCAAGGCACCGGGCTCCACTGACCAGGGTACCGAACCTGAAAATCCCCTTGAAAAGTGTGGAAATGTGAATCCCAGATTGCTGGAGCCGGAACGCGTGTACGTATCGGGCGCTGCCCTGGTCTCCATAGGACCAGAGGAAGGTCCACTTCACTCCTAAAGTCCAGGGCCCAGAGAGCCATGTGTCGAACGCTCGCAGAGGAGGCACTCTGTTCATCAGCACGAAAAACCGGAACCTCTAACGCACTGGCATCGAAGTCAGTGGGAAAGGCCAGAACCAGATCCCCATCCCTCCAACGCACGGCTTCGTGGGCGCTAGTGACTGGACCCACCGCCGCAGGCGGACCTCTGAGAGAGAAGAGTGGGCCTGGCGACATACCTCGTATGAAATCCAACAACCAGGCCAAATCGGCACGATTAGGGATCAGCACCGGCATTTGCCATTCAACTGAGAGAACGACCAGGCATGCCATGGCGGGTGATGGGGCCACGGGGACAAACACCAATTGGTCGGGCGAGGGCGACGGCCACACCGGAACTATTTCGTGCGACCAAACCGGCTCAGAGCCCGTCAAGGCCATCCTGACTTCTTCCACAGTGTCGTTTTGTCGCATGACAACAACAGGATCGCCCCTCACCCCGAAGGGGGACAGTAGCCTACAGTTGAAAGCGCCTGGGATGGATTCATGCAGGGCACGGTCCTCAGGGGGAAGTCGCCAAGGAAATTTGCCCACCCGCACTGAGGAATCAGTAAGTGCCTCGGGGGGCACAAACATGGCAGCTGCAGGCCGTCGAGACAGGCTAAAAACCAGCAACCATAGTACTATGCGCGCCGGCATTCGCGCGCAGACAGCCGCTGCTGCCGCACTAAGCGGAGTAAGGGATGGCGCATAGGAAGGAATAAGAGTGTCACCGTCACGGAGAATCACTTCCCCCATGCCGCGTCGGAGGCGGTGTTCCACCTGCCACCCAGAGGGTAAACAGTCCTCGCCCCTGGTGCGCTCAAGAAGAAGACATTCTACTGGCTCGTCACTAAAAGGACGGTGCTGGAGAACATGTGCTGCTCCTGGTGGCGCCTGCTGCACAAAATGACAAGCGCCATCCGCGTGGTACTGAGCGGGGACCCATCGGTCATTACCGGGCATGCACCGAGGACGCACGAACTGAAGGCTGCCCGGGAGCCACCGGGACCCTGAGTGCACCCAATGTCGTTCACACTGAAAAAGTGGGTCTCCATGCGGATGCCAAACATAGACCCAACCCCCGTGCTTCACGTGGAAAGAAGCATGCCAGCAGGTGAGATGAGGCAACCAGCTGAGAGAACGATGTTGCGCCAGAGGAGGTTCTGGCACATGGGGATGGTTATGGTCATCATGCCAGCCGAAGACATCGCCATCCCGCAACCCCATCGGTAGACTCTCAAAATCCCTACACCGAGAAAGGGAGGGCGGAAGCACAAGACGATTCTGCCATGGCCTCCACAGGGCCAAATGGGCTCGCAACTCCCGGAGCGAAAAGTGACGCGGTAGAAGCAAGGCAAAGTGACGCCCGCACACTGAAACCACTACTGTCGCAAGATCAGTGAGGCCCCCAGGGACGATTGTCATAGGTTGGCGCCCAATGGTAGGGCCAAGCAGCACATGACCTCTACTCCAACGGCCACAGAATTCAGCCACTAGGCCGTCCAACGTAGTTCCCGCGACCTCACGCGTAAAGTACGCCGGGAAAGCTCCGCTGTGGAAGGGAGAGAGGATATGATAGTGGCCTTGACCACTTGACAGGACCTCCAACATAGGGTGTGGGTGCTCAGGGCGCCAGGCACTAGCTCGAGGGCTTAAGTCATCGTCTGAGTCAGCAGACGAGTGTGCGGAGCTGGGAGTTCGGCTCCGACCACGACGGACAGCCTCAGCAGTGGGAAGACCTCCGACCAGAAGACCGAAGAGGGACGGCTGACGGGCTGCGATCAGCAGAGCAATCGAGAGGCCGACCGAGGCGTCTAGCCCCCAGCGTCGCCCACGATTCCAAACAGAGAGCCAACGCTGCTCATAGACATATGAGTCCAGTACAACATCACCGTCCCGGAGAACAAGGGGTGCAATGGTGTCTTCAGGTGTAGCGCCGAGTACAGCCATGTACTCCGGCAAGGAATGCAATTCTTCCGCAAGTTCAGAACGGCTAGTACGGGCAGTGAAGGCAAGCGCCACTACCCCTTCGCGGCTTTCATGTATAATATGCGCTCTTCCCGGACTGGTGGAAGCTTGCATTAAGTGCACGCAATTTCCCGGGTGCCATGGAATAGGGACCCACGAACCTGGCCAGCGGCTCCTGAAAGAGCCCTCAAACGTCCTGTCCTCAGGTGTCCAAAATGCACCGGCATCAACCCGGGTAAAAATCGGACCCCCATGAACCGGCGACCAGACACCAACTAAGTCAGTCTCAGCAACCACAAAGGGGGCGGTCCACCGCACCTGAGAAACGAGACTGAGAGGCATCTGCGGAACAAAAGCATTAACATCCTTCGTACCCGTGAATACTTCTAGAACATCCGCAGTGCGAAGGTTCAGTTCCCAGGTGCGAGGGTTCGGCAGGGAAGAGCGAACAGCGGGGGAGACTCCCAAATGCATGATGGGCCAGCCCGACAGGTGGCGTAGTGTCCGCAGAAGGCAGTCAAAGGTACAACGGCCGGGCACCAAGAATGCTCTTGCAGTATCCGAGTGGCACGCTACGATACAAACACACCTGGGGTCGGCCCCGATATCAGGTACCAGAACTAGACGGTCACGAAAGAGCCCCGGCCAGACTGGGACAACATCCCGGATCCAGTCGCCATGCACAGCTTGATAGTGGCCGAGCAACGCAGGGTAAACAGTACGCGTAGCTATCTCATGCGGACCTTGCATGCCTGTCAGAGGACACAAAAGGACACACCGCAGCCGCGGCTGACTGACAATCCCCTCAAATGTCCTGTCAAACCTTGCGTCTCGCCACGCGAAGGAGCCCACTTCGACCGTGTCACGACGTGTCGGCCTTAAAGTGTCCGTCCACTGGAGCATTGCCTGGACCGCAGGAAGGAAAACCAGAAGGCGCATAGGGACGTATCTGAAAGACAGTCCCCCAAGTATCCACATTGGCAACACAGCAGCCCCACTAGTGACAACTGGTGTCGGAGGCGGCGGGCCAAACGGACCTGAGTCGAGAAGGAGGCAGTCACCATCTCGAAGGTGCACCGGCCGTTCGACATTACGTCGAAGAGGATACGGTTCGCGCAGTCGGCCAAAACGACCACCTAAGGTCAACGCCCGAGTAGGACCAACCGGGAGCGTAGCTGGAAGGCAAACCGGGTGAAGCCCTCGATGGGTGCGAAGCACAACGGAAGCCAGTGCCGAATCGGCTGCTGCGGGAATCAGATGAACCGCCTCTGTATCGGGCTGCGGTTGGACAGGGAGTATCTGCTGCCAGCCACGGCGGCCAGAGAAATCTTGGAGCAGAAACCGAAATTCTTGCCCGGATCCAACAAGGGGGGTGACCACGCTACATTGGTCAGAAACTGTAAAGGGATTATGGATAGTCAGCGGACACCCCGCCGGCAGAAAAGGTCGGTTTCGGTTGCTGCGGTCGTCGACCTCACACATGAAAGCAATAACACGTCCTTGCAAAGTGGGAATGGACGCATGATCGAAGGTTGGCGCAACAGCGGGCCATTGGCCAACAACCGGCGCACCAGTGCGCGCAGCGTCCTCATCACTCGGGCGGAGTAGATGGGTGTCCTCACCTCCTGTCCCCACAAGTTCGGCTGCCGGCGTAGGGGCCGTAACCTCTGCAAGGTCTGGTGAGCTAGGCTGGGAGGGCTCCGATGGGGCACTATCTTCGCCGTCGCCACGAACAAGAGTGATGGCAGAGAGAACCCCTAGCACGAAACCGGACTGCCCTAGGAACCTCCCAAGAAGAAAGACGCCCCATTGCGCAACGGGATGTACAGTTCTAGCCGTCGACTTGTCCTTATTGGTTAACTCCTCAGGACCATGAAACCATGGTGCGGCACCCACCTCATCGGGCTCGCTCCCTGGGAGAACGCCCGCAACCTCAAGTCGTGAGGTAAGCATCGTGAGCTGATGACTGATTTCATTGACCTGCCGAACGACACTAGGCGGGGCGGAGTGGGGCTCCTTAGTGGGCCAGCGCGTTGGAGCCGTGCGGGACGGACCAGCAGCCTCAGCAGGTGGTGGAGGTGACTGACTCATACCTGATGGCAGCACTTGGAGGCAGGTCTCGCCAGCTAGAGGAAGTTCCCCTCCTGCACCACGGCACAGATCATAATCAAAATGAAAGGAAGCCGGAGCATCCGATGGCGCATCCCAAGAGGAGAAACCCGCAGCAGGAACCGGAAGATTACGCACCAAGGTAATAATGGTCCCGTGGCCTGGTGCTGGCAACTGAGACCCGAAGGGAATAACCCGGCCCCCATGCCAAATACCGAACTGTCCCTGCGAGAAGAACGGCAAGCCAAACTCCTCAGCAGCTGTTTGTCCCACATGCTGCCAATCGAAGACCGCTCTGGGTACGCTCATGACAGCAGCTCGACCTCGATAATGCAAAAGCCAAAATATCGTGGATGTGGTCGAGCCGGACGGCACATGCAAGAGGTGCGCAACCCCGTGGACAATCTGAGGGCTCGTCCAGACGAAATCACCTGTGGCAGTAACGCCCCTAGCAGTATTGGCCACATAAGTGGCCATAACACCTGGGTCGGGAGTAGAAACATACGGAACAACCGTGGGAGCTGCTAGGGTGTAGGTCCAGATCCGGCAGATAGTAGGCGCCGGATCGCGAGGAAGTCCCCACGCAGGGGGATGCCCCTGATGCTGGCCGGAAGAAGTGCGCAAGATAAGATCCTGCTGCATTGCCCTTACAGGATGGACGTGGAGCGATCCCAACAGAACCCCTATCAGCAAGGAGCTGCGCATGGAGCTAGCCCTAGAAAAGGAGCCAATCGCAATTTCAGTTAGAACCAACCCTCCAGCCGAGAGGTGCCCTAAGACCCGTGAAAAGGGGTAAGTGATAGCTGCTCGGACCCCAGCAGGAAGCCTCTGCATCGCACCTGCCTCTGGGCCAAAAGAGAGGCCTTGGGCTTGACCAAGTGAGTTCAGGGTAAGCACACGTCTACCATCCGGCTCATACCATGGAGCAACAGGGCGCAGAAGCTCCCTCGACATGCCGTCCCTAACAATCCACCAGGTAGGATCCCCAATCGGGCACGATACAACATCCAGGACAGTAGGTTGCGTGTCAAACGCAACATGCAGACCGCAGGAGTCCGGACGGTGTCCTGCTTCCCAGAGCAAACTATTAAACCCGGACAGCGGCCCGCCCTTGGGGTAATCAAAAATGGCAGGCCCTTGAAAGGGTGTCCAAATGTGGAAGCGAATCGTGTCAGTCGGTGCGTTAGCCTGACAATATCCCCAGAGGGAGGCAGGCATGACACCCAAGTGCGTGGTTTGGCAGGATAGCTCATAGCACCATGCCACGGCCACTGGCGGGGAACTGTCATATCGAGGGAATACCTGCGGTTCCGGGCATTCATCGTCAGTATCTGAGGCCGCACCCAACACCGGCACCGGGCCCTGAAGAAGAAAAGGGAGGAGGAACCACCATCCTAGGTATGATCGAGTCGTCAGGCTGCGTCCAACGGCAGGACTGACCACACTGGCAAATGCTGCAACTGACGGCTGGTTCAGAACCCCATTGATGCGTGCCTGGAGGCCGCGTGTGGCGTCGCAGGCGAAGGCGTCATGGCCTTCTTGGAAAAGGTGCCCACATTCCCCAGCCAGAGAGGACACCTCACCAGGCCATTTCCAAACAGCCAACTGTCCGTGGATCTCAACACCTGGCAGGTCCCACGTGGTGAGCCCTCCAATTGACATAACTTCGGGCCATTCCACCGACAGCGTGCAAGCAGCTCTCACCCATTCTCCGACTCGCATGGCCCACGGAAAATGGCCTTCGCTGCAAGGAACTCCGCAACTAACCCCAAAATGGGGGCATTCCAGCAGTCGCATGGGACTTGACGAGAAATGTCCCGGTACTGCAACGCAGCCCTTAGCTGGACGACGTTTAACTAGTGCTTTCGTTGGTGCCGGTCGCGCATGAGCTGGCCAGTGCAGAGGGAAAGTTTGAACTCCTTGTTCAACCCGGGAACTCGGAAGAACAGGCTCCTGGAAAGCTTCCGGCTGTAGCGCGGCAAGGGCTAGCTTCCTAGGGGCTTGCTGTTGGGAGAGGCGCCATCCTGCATCAGACAAGCGACAGAAGTCCAATCCAAGCTGAAAGAAAACGAAGGGAAAACCTGAGCTAACTTGTGCCGCCGAAAGCGCAAAGTGCCGCAAAATAGTTGGCTGTTGGTCTAAGACCGCGTTCCAAAAGGACGACCCACGAATGCTTGACAAAGGAAGCTCCTCAGAGACTGGGGCAGACACAGTGAGGACAATCGGGAGGACCCCGCAATCCAAAACATCAGTGAGCAGAACCGTGAGCGTGCTATGCGTGCGCTCAATAAGACAGAACAAGTCGACCGCCGGCGCAGAAAGAGGCAGTCGAATGAGGCAACTTGTCCCACAACGATGCTCACCGTACCAAGACTGCAGAGCTGACTCAAGACGGTACTTAGTGAATCCTTTAGGGACTTCAACCAGAAGCAGGCCTTGGTCGGCAGACGTGATAAACACCTCAGTGTGCGGAACAAGCCAACTGGTCGCTGAAAACGTGGGCATCGGTACAGACGAAGCCCCAACGTCTGGCAGGTTAATCTTATCATCACTATGCGCCACGACTACATCTCCATGTCGCAATGGGTGAGGCGCCCCTTCATCAAGACGAAAGCTTCCTCCCGGGAAAAGCAGTGTCAGCGCCTGCAGGATGGAGGGCCCAGGGTTGGAGCGGACCACATCCAGACAGATCAAGGGTCCGCCGGCGTCAACAAGCACAGTAACATACTGCAAACTACGCGCTGGGGAGATGAATCGGACACATCGATCAAATCCAGAAGGTTGAACCAAGATCGGGAAACCCCGTCCCAACAGGCCCCCTGCCCTGAGTAGCACGCTCTTCAGGACGTCTGCTCCTCGGTCACCTGGGAAGAGGAACCAAACGGAATCACCGGGCGATGCTACCTGAAAGTAGTAGTGTGAGGCAGGGGCAGTTGCTAAATTCTGACTCCGGCTCCACTCAGCAGAAGCCCATTCACGGGACGCGCTCAGTCTCTGTGAGGCGGTGGTGCGCGCCAACCCCGGCTTCCGTGTCTAATGGGATCCTAACCTGTGCATCCTCTGACTTACGATGGAGGGCAATCCCATCGGCGGGCGGATCGGAGTCCGGTATCAAAAAAGTACCCCAGCTGACGCGCAACCCGAGAAGCAGCAAGGCAGCCGAACGAACGCCATGCCTCGTAGTAACCGCCAAGAGAACCCCAAAATTGATGGCCGAGCGCCCACTCGCAGAAGAACCGCCGCTGGCCGAGCACGGCGAAGCTTCTGGAAAGGTCCGGCGACGTAAAACCACAAGCGGGGCTGGTGCATTTGCTTCGAGAGGCTTATCAGGATCCACTGAGTGTTCACGGTGGAGCACCATTAAACTGCCCCGAGCAAGAAGCTCAGCAAGCTTACAATCCGGTACTGGTTCTCCGGATGTGGCCACAGCCATTGCCAGGCGAGTTGCCGGGCTCGCTCCGGGTTGGAAAGGAAGCACGGCAAGCCCCGCACCAAGTGGTCGGAAATCGATAAGGCCTGGGAGACAACCTTCAGGACATTGTAAGGCAACAAATTGCACCGCAGGCAACTGCTCTAAAGGAGGGAGGACCCGAGCGAAATGACTAAAAGTAGCACCCCCGCACGTGACATCCGACATGAAAGCTCCCATCACAGTTGAACGAATGGAAAGATGGTCCGCAAACATCGGGGCGAATGTAAAAAACAGCCCGTTGGCATACAGAACCACCGCATTGACCCCAGCTTCGGAATGAAAGGCAAGCTCAGCGGGTCCAGGCAGCGAAAGGCTCGTGGAAAACACGTCCTCTAGAGACAGTCTATAGGGGACAGAGAGCCATGACGAGAGGGTGGTACCGATTGAGGAAGACGCACCGTAGGCCACACTTGCAATGCGTCTCCTTGCGGGAGCAAAAGCACATACGCCTGGGGAACAAACCAAGCATTTCCCAGCCGACATAGGCAGTTGTTCACATCAACGTGTATGCCTTGCTGCACAGCCGCGTCCCGGATTATCGCGGCGCCTGGCTGGTGTCGGAAGGTGTCTAAAAGCGAGACAGAGCCGCCGACAGCACGAAGGTCAACTGGAACACGGATCCGAAACCACGGGAGGGTGAGCTCGGTAAGAACGTACTGCTCCGGTGGGAGGGAAGGCAGTGTTTCCACCTGGCGGCGCCAACTCCATTCCGCTGTCTGCAGACCTAGCGCAGAGCATACCTGTCTGAACAAGAGGGCCCCATGGGTACGGTCATCAACATGAAGGACCTGAGGGCAGTGCGCCAAAGACGGGGCAAAGACCCCGATGTCTCGCATTGGTGCTGGAACCTGCTGCAGGACCGGTTCGACACAAG